GAAATCATGTAAAGCTGATTATTTCTCATTATGTTGAAGCTAACAGCTGAGCATTTTTCTGTTAGGATAATAGAAATTATCTAAATAGAAGCCTAACACTTCTTGCTTTATGGGAATTGACAAAATCCAAGACACATTCACTTGTATTATCTTCTTTGTGCCCCTATGAGGCAACTCTATGAGGCAAATAATTAGAGAAAGAAAATTGGTTCAGAGAGGTTAAGTTCAAAGGTCAGTACTATGCTATGCCAGAGCAGCACTAGGCCAGGGACACAGGCCTTCTGTCTGCCACTTGGATCTCATTTTGTAGTTTTCTTTTCTTTTCTTTTCTCTTCTTTTTTTTTGAGACAGAGTCTCACTCCTTCGTTCTGGGTAGAGTGCAGTGGCATCATCATAGTTTACTGCAACCTCCAACTCCTGGGCTGATCCTCCTGCCTCAGCCTCCAGAGTGGCTGGGACTACAGGAGGCACAACAACGCCCAGCTAATTTTTGTTTTTACCGTGTTTCCTCGAAAATAAGACAAGGTCTTGTATTTATTTATTTTTCCTCAAGAAGACACCCTAGGGCTTATTTTCAGGGGATGTGTTATTTTTTTTAAGTACAGTATGACAATCTACATTTATTCAAATATAGGTAAGTCGTCTTCTTCTGGAACATCATCATAACTCTCCAAAACCCGAATTCCATCCTGAATTTCTTGTGACTCTATTTCCTTTAGAACCATTGGCCCCAATCTCTCATGTCCAGCAATGGAGCTCTCATGGAGCAGATCAGAAGGGCTGCTTGTCTTTACCATTCAGCGACGAAATGCATGGGTTGTGCAGGTACGCTGTGTACCCACGCCCATCACTAGGTCTTATTTTCGGGATAGGGCTTATATTGCGCAAATGCTTAGAAATCCTGCTAGGGCTTATTTTATGGGTAGGTCTTATTTTGGGGGAAATACGGTAGTAGGGATGGGGTCTCTCTCTTGTTCAGCTCAGGCTGGTCTTGAACTCCTGAGCTCAAGAAATCCTCCGCCCGGGCCTGGTGGCTCACGCCTATAATCCTAGCACTCTGGGAGGCCGAGGTGGGCAGATTGCTCAAGGTCAGGAGTTCAAAACCAGCCTGAGCAAGAGCGGAGGACCCTGTCTCTTACTTAAATAGAAAGAAATAAATTGGCGATAATATATAGAAATATATAGAAATTTTCTATTATAGTATGTATATAGAAAAATTAGCCGGGCATGGTTGGTGCATGCCTGTAGTCCAGCTACTCGGGAGGCTGAGGCAGGAGGATTCTTGAGCCCAGGAGTTTGAGGTTGCTGTGAGCTTAGGCTGACAGCCACGCACTCACTCTAGCCTGGGCAACAAAGTGAGACTCTGTCTCAAAAAAAAAAAAAAAAAAAAATCCTCCCACCTCCGCCTCCCAGAGTGCAAGGATTACAGGTATGAGCTACCTCGCCTGGCCACATTTTATAGTTTCCTTTTCTTCTTCTTCAATAAGGTTTCTAAACAGCATTGAATGAACCAAAGCCCAGTGATGCTTCTGCCCAAGGCATCAGAACAACAATAGGATTTAGATCAGCACCAAAGATAATAATGGTTCTTAGTTCTCCAAGACACTTTTTCCTTCTGTTTTAAGAGCTCTGGCCATATGCATCCCAGAAATCCATAAAAAATTATGCCATACTAACAGCAATATTTGAAATATAACTTTGTTTCTGGGGAGCTTAAAGCACTTTGTCATTGATTATATTTTCTTTATTTCCATTTACATGTTTGGATGATCTAAACTACCCATTGACAGCATTCTCCCTGAAATATAACCACGGTCTTCCTAGCAATTCATCAAGAGCAGGCAACATCGGCTTCTTTTATGCACTGCATGTTGTTATGGGTGAAGGGGGGAGGCACTCCTGGATATCAAGAAAGCTTTGGCTTCCCTAATCATTCAGATAGAATTCAATTCATTTCAACAACATTTCTTGGCCCCATCTTACCTACTAGGTACTCTGCCATGTGCAAATCCAGAAACAGATTGCATAGTCTAATCATCGTGTCACTCACTGCTTCCTGTTCTCATCCCAAACTTCCTTTTGCCGGTGACAATACCACACAGCTGGCGAGCAGGATGAAGGAATGATTTGGTGGAGCCTGTTATCGCTCATTCTCATATGTGCTCTTTGACCACAGTTCAAATAAACATGTTTCTCCCCTTTCCTTGTCCCATGGGGTGTGTACTATTTTTCAAATCCACTTAGAGTAGATAATAAAATAGCAAAAGTAGATCACTTGACTTGCCTGGGTTGGCCTCTGATTTCTGCATCTTGACTTAGTTTCTCTAGACATTCTTCTATGCTTCAAGAAAGGGCTCCCAGTGATTCAGACCATCTCCCAAGGTTCTCTGTGCCTCCCCACCACCTATGCCCGCTGGATAACATGGCTTCCTGCTTTGCCAAGATCAATATGTACGTCTCAGAGCCCCATGCTTTATCTTTACTTACAAAGTCACTACACTACTGCTGTCTCTAATTCCTCCCCAGTAATCTTAGGGATATGGGTTCTTTCCTCAGGAAAACTAACCTCTCCCTGCATGTCTCAGATGTCATTCTTCCCCTCCATCTCAAGATCTCTGAATCCCTCAGCCTCTTCCTCAATTTCTGAGCTTAATTAGCTAGAGTCCTTGCTAGAGTCCATAAAAAGGTATGTAAAGCTAAGCCAATTCCTGCTGTGGTAGTTGTTGTGGTGGTTGATAAAACTATTAGAATGAAAACATCTCAGTTACTCTATGTATCTCAGTCTTGGTGAGACTTTCAATAAAATCATAGAATCTCAAAGATGATTGGAACAGTATCATAACGTATTCCAAATTTCTAACCTATAGAAGATTTTCCCCCCTAAACATTCCAGCAATTGTTTTGAGGGAAGGGTATCCCTCAAGTCTAGAGACCTTCTTTTCTCTTTCCTACTGTGGCATTTTATCTTGCTGGATCTTCTCCTATTTCTTTGATTAATCTTTTTCTGTTTCCTGTATTGATCAACTGGCCTCAGCTCTCCACTCTTCCCACACTATTCTTACTCCCTCGTCCATTCGTCTATACATTCATTTGGGTCCCCTATGAAAAGGACCTAAAATCTGCCTGGCACCAATCTAGGCAGAGGGTTACAGAAGTGAACATAACAAACAAGGCTGCTCTCATGGGAGAGAAACATGCTAATGGAAGGAGGCAGAAAATGAGCAAGTATGTAAATTGGAAATAAGATAATTTTGCATAGTGAGATAAGATATGGAGAACAAGAAATAGGGCAATGAAACAGAAAGTAGCTTCGGGTGGGGGAGGTGAAAGGAAACTGGTTTTGAGTGACCAGGGAGTGCCACTCCAAGGTGAATTCATTTGAGGCAAGACCAAAATGACAAGAAACAAGCCGCTGGGTGGAGTGCATTCCAAGAAGAGAAGGCATCAAGGGCAAAGGCTGTATTAATAATAATAATAATAATAATAATAATAATGGGAAATAGTAGTAATGGGGAAAAGCTTGATAAGTATGAGGTACATTTTTAAAAAATTAAGTGCAGCTGAAACATTGTGGACAAGACAGAGAGTGGTAGACATGAGCACGGAGACATAGCCGGGGCACAGGGCCAGCTTTGTTAGGCCATGGTGAAGAGTCTAGATCTTATTTCAATGCAGTGAGATGCCATGTAAGGGCTTTAAGCAAGAGAAGTTCATAATCGTATGGGATACAAAGATTGCTCTGTCTACTGTTTGGAGAACAGAATGTGTGGTTTCACCCATCAGCTGTGAGGGGAGAATGATCATTAAATTGGAAAAGACCAAGCAAACATCAGCAAAAAAGGATTGAAGCAAAAATGGCATAAAAGAGGAAGATAATTTAAATGAGCTAAAAACTCTCAGAACAAGGCCAAATGTACTTCAGGGAACTTAAGGTAATCACAGAAGTGACTGAGAGCCATTGCCAAAAAATCAAAGGAAACAGCAGAAGACTGGAGAGACCAAACACGCCTATTTTCAATCAAGGAGAGGACAGGAGAAGTGGCAATTAGAAACTAGAGGCAAAATCCTCTAAGTGACTATCTAAAGCAGGGATGGTAAACATTTAGAAAAGAACATTTTGAATATCAGCAGTGAGCATAAATAGACATAAAAAGGTATGTAAAGCTAAGCCAATTCCTGCTGTGGTAGTTGTTGTGGTGGTTGATAAAAATTATTAGAATGAAAATATCTCAGCCACTCTATGTATCTCAGTCTTGGTGAGACTTTCAGTAAAATCATAGGATCTCAAAGATGATTGGAACAGTATAATGTATTCCAAATTTCGAACCTATAGAAGATTCCCCCCCCTAAACATTCCAGCAATTGTTTTGATAACATCTGTTTGTACATAATACAAGGTAATTCATTCCAGTTTGGAATGGTTTGAAATGTATTACTGAAAATTTGTTTCCATATGAATGTAAACCATTGATCCTACTTCTTTCCTGTGGATTATAATACATCCAATTCCTCTCATATATGCCTTTTATTTTAAATTTTCAGAATGTGTCATGCTATACACATGAAAAATAAGGAGATGTGTTTGGGTATGTATTTATGATTAAGCAACTGTACTAAAGAAGTTTAATTAGTAGCTCATTGTCAAGCTAGAGTGAAGTCTTTAAAATCATGTCAAAGGGCTCTCTTTTTATTTTTTTCTATTCTTTTTTCTTTTTAAGTAAAACTATGTATGGATCAAGGAATTGTCAAGCCTAGCGATGAAATAATGTGAAAGAAGACAGATATGTTGGGTGATTGAATCTGAATTCAATAAAAGTATTAACTGAATATGATACTTGGTTGAAATGAATAAATTTTAATAGCAATAAGTGCAACATTTCACAATAAAATTTCCAAAATTCCCTGTAAAAGTACAAAATAAATGATTCTGCAACAAGTCAAGTGAAAAATAGTTAGGGATTTAAATTAAACATAAGCTCATTATGACTGAGATGTGGCTGTAAATTATTTAAATAGATATACCCTCCAAAACAATGTGGCCATAATTCCACTGGATTTATGCCAGTCAGACCACACAGGGAACATCGGTTCCTGTTCTGGATGTCACTTGGAGAATCATACTGACAAACTAAAAATCCTCATGAGAAAGCAAACAGGATGGCTAAGGGTTGGAAACTACTAGGAAATACACTGAAGAAACTAAAGAGGCTTAGGCCCAAACAAAAAAGTCTTGGGGTGAGGCGTGGGGTAGCATAGCTCTTTGTAAGAGAAAACAGTATTAGGACCACTTAATGGAGTTTGGGGAGGAAGGAGGAGTGTACAGAATTCAACTGAATATAAAGAACTTCCTTAAATATTGGAAGGGGTGAACTTGTGAAGCAGAAAGCTCTCTTCACTGAAAACGGTCAAGCCCAATCATCAGGAATGTTCTTGGAGGACAGGAGGCTGAATTAAGTCAACTTTAACTTCCCCTCCAAGGCTAACACAGTTTGCTTCAAGGGCTCAGAACAGCACAGGGTTGACGGCCTGGTGGCTCCCTGCCCAGGAAGGTCCTACCGGGGACATCCTGTTGCTCTGTGGTCTGCCAGAAGGGAGCATTTCCTGCGCGTGGTTCACTTACAGCCAGCTGTCACTCTGCCGCTCCCGTTTGGAACATCAGTGCTAAGCTCCCTCTTTTGGAAAGAGAGATGGAGAGGATGCGACGGGGGCTGGATTAGCCTTTCTTTCACCCAGTTCCAGGCATTCCCGATCTGTTATGTCAACTTGAGCTTATAACTGCCTGTAAAGGTTCAGGTTTCCCTCCCAGAGACCGGGCGGAGGCACCCAGCAGCTGGGACGAGGGAGTGGCTCGCGGTTGGAAGACACGGAGCACAAGCTATCTGCTTAGAAAAAACAAAAAACAAAAAAAAACAAACAAAAAAATTTAAGCAAAAGGGCGGAATGCGAAGAAGCTGGGGGAGGGAGGGAGGAGCCTTCTCCCGGTCGCCGCCGCCACTCTCGCCGACGTTTCGGATCACCTCCCCGGAGACGAGGGGAACGCGGGAACAGGTGCGTCGCGCTCCCACGCCGCTCGCGCTCAGCGGGGACTGTCTCGCGGCGCTCGCCGCGTCCGGAACCGGCTCCGCGGCCAGACGGAGGCGAGACCGGGAGACCCGGAGGGGATGGGGTCGGGCGAGCGCAGCGGGGAGCCGCGCACCGTACACTGGAGATGACATCATCGCCTGAAAGGGACGCGGCCTTCCCCTTCCCGGAGCTGGAGCGGGCCCGTCTGCGCGGGAACGGGAGTGGGCCGCCCGGGGGTGCGCGCGGGGCGCGGGAGAGGGACACCTGGCGAGGGGAGCGCGCGCGAGCCCGGGAGTGTCCGGCCCCGCGGGGTGGCGCGGCCCGGCTCCGCCCAGCGCGCCGCGCTCCGCCCGGGAGGGCACGCCCGTCAGTGGGTGGGGAGCGCGCTCCGGGGGAGGGTCCGTGGTGGCGGTGGGGGCGGAGAGCCGCCTGCGCATGTCCAGGCTGACAGACGCGCCAGCCCGGGGCGCCTGGAGCGGGGCGGCAGACCGCCCGCACCCGGGGTCGGGGCTCCGCGCGATCCGGGGCGAGCTCCGGGAGGGGCTCCCCTCTCCACGCACCCCCCGCCGCTGAGGTCGCCCGCCAAACGGGGGCTTCTGCCTCCGTCCCCGCCCCTCGGGCCCTCCCCCGGGAGCCGAGGGCGGGTGTGGACGGGACCGACGTGGAGCGAAGTCCGTAGCCCAGACGGGCGGCCCAGGTGGCTTCGGCGGTGAGGACACGCCCAGCTGGCGACGCGGGCCAGGGCGGATGCAGCCGGCGCTCGGGGCTCGGCGGATCCTGGTCGGAGCGTAGCTGTCCCCAGGGGAGCCGAGAGGAGAACCAGCGTGGACCCCCGGACCTGGGGGGACCGGGAGCCTGCTGGGACCGCGGGAGCCGGGCTTCCCCGGGGCGCAAGCGAGAAAGGCCGGGAGCGAGCGGGTTCGAAGTTCCGGGGTGGGCGGGGAGGCTGCTGTCCTTGGTGCTGAGCCGGCTCCCGCAACCCGCTGGGGACAGCGCGCGGAGCCGCGGCTCGCTCCCCCGAATTGGGGCGCTCTGCCGGGGAAGCTTCCAGCAGAAACCCCCGCCCGCTCCAAAGCCCGCAGAGCCTCCCAGGCGCGGGAGCGTGGTCCTTCTTTCACTCAGAAAGTCGCCCCCTTGGGGCAGTTCGTCCCAAAGGGTTTCCTCGAAAGAACCTGAGAGGGCGCAGTCCTTGACTGAGGGAATCTCTGGCTAGCTGGAAGCCCACAGCTGAGGAAGATGCCTGCCTTCAACAGATTGCTTCCCCTGGCTTCGCTAGTGCTCATCTCCTGGGGTAAGTGCCGGCGCCCTGCCATGCGAGGTGCAGATGACAGTGGTAAGGCTGACCGCAATAACACTGATGTCGCTGGTGACAAGAAGGGGCTCTGGCTGGCTTTCCTCCGTGCTTGTCTGCCAGACATGGAGATCCGCAGGGATTCCGGGAGAGCTGGGATTTTGAGGTTGGGAAGGCGCCTCCCCACTGCCCTGCTCCTTTATTCCCCGGCCTCCTTTGGTGATTCTGCCACCATTCCTCCAGTGTCCTGGTAATTCCAAAGTATTTTTTTTTCCTTTCCCTTTGCTGAAAGGAAATGTAGTCATGTTCACTATTAAAAAAAAAAAAAAGGTCTCGTTTGCAGTTACATTTCATTTCTTAATGAGGAGTCAATACTCCTGGAAAGCTTGCTGGGTCTTCAGATTTATTTTTCTATCTTAAAAATAATAATAAAGATAAAAGCTGAATGGATGAATTTCGAAAGGGAAAATACTTTAATTGTTGATCATCTGCTTTATTTTAATAAGGAATGGGAGAAAAACAGGCTTCAGCCATTTGCTGCTATACATTAGATAAATAGGCAACAGTGAAATGCATCTTTCTTTGTTTTTTTTGTTTGTTTGTTTTTTACATGAACATATGGAACTAAGATGCTTTGGTGTTTGGGGAGCTGGGTTTTTGCCTTCAAAGATGAATAGACTCTTGCTTGCCAGCTGTGAGAGACTGAGGTGACCTTCCCCCTCCAAAAAAGGGAGTGTTACACTTGCAACAGTCAGGAGAGTGTCAGAGATGGTCTTGCAGTGGGGCACCTGAATGTGTGAAGGGGAGTTAAGAGTCTACATGATAATGCCTGAACGTGTACTAGACACAGTGTTTTACTGTGTGTAAATGTATGTCTCAGTGTCTGAATGTGTGCACTAGCGTGTGCCTGAGCATGCTATTATAGACATCTGAATGAATTGGTGAAAGCGTAGTAGTGTGTGTGTGTGTGTGTGTGTGTGTGTGCATGTATGCGTGCATATGTGTGTCTGGTTCTGGGCATCTCTGCCTTGGTGTCTATGATTAGATCCTCAGATCAAATATGGGTGCTCTTCGGTTGATATATTGCTTTACATAATCTTAGCTACCTTCCTCCATGCTACAATCAATAAAAAGGATAATTGGACACAATTATACCCACTTGCCTTACTGAAAGTAAGCATGTGGTTTGTGCTCTCATGGTTGGCATGAAACTCATTTTGCCTGTGCAGTGGCAGACGTGCTGATGGGAGTTGCCTCTTTGCCTTAGCGTCACTTTGTCAAGCCTCTGGGACTAACTCTAGCTGCTAGCATTATCTGGATTTTGCATGTGACCAGAGGCACAACCAAGCTTCCTGTTGAACAGTATGCCCAATGAGACAGTCTAGGAAGTTCGAAGAGAGACAGTAATGCCAGCCCCAGGGGCAGACTTACCGCCAGCCATCCCCAGTAGAGTAGATCAGACCTGGAGATGAAGCAGATATAATAGGCTGCCAATGATCTCACCTGTCTTGTAGATTAAGGCTGAGATTTTCTCAGGGGGGGCTAAGGAGAGGGACACAATGCTTAGGGGAGGTTAGTCTGGAAAAAAAGAGTATGGGTAAAGCTGAAATTGTAGAAGAGGGTTGGGGTGAGATTCTGCAGAGGCTTTCTTCCTAAACCCTGATCTAAGTTTTTCGGGTCCCTTCCTGAATTCCAGTTGATGGGGAGAGCATGCTATAGTCCAAGAATTGTTTGACTAGAACTTGCACAGCCTGCATTGGGGCCTCAGCTCCACCACTAGCTTACTATGTAACGACCTTAAAATACTATCTGGTTCCTGATATGTAAAGTTTGGGAGTTGGCACAGATGAGATCTAACATATCCTTCAGCTCCACCATGAAATGGTAAGGAAATATTTATAGAATATTGCTAGAATTGTCGGAGTGTTCATACCCCTCATCCTTTACCCCCCCCCCCAAAAAAAAAAACTTTGAAAGATGAGCACACATTCTTACTTATTCTCAGCTTCTTTGTAATCTGAACACTGTCTCACCAAACTGAAAAGCTGAGGAAGGTAAAAATGTGTGGTGCAGGATGCCTGATTGTTACATGTAAGAAAAAGAGCCTCACTTCACAAATGCAATTTCATTTTATTTGTATGTAATTCCAGTATTGGAAAGGATTTAACTTAGATGCATTCCCCCTCCCCAAGTTGACTTTTTTACACCATGCCCAATATGAAAAGAGTCTTTTCTATTTACTTGCTGCATGTATTGAAAAAAGTTCCTTTGTTCCCTTGTCGAAGTACATAATATATTTTTTAAAAGTTGCATTTGCCTGGTGCTTTACAGTTTACAAAGCAATTTTCAATCCCTTGCTTTTTTTTTTTTTTTTTTTTTTTGGTCCCCATATCAATCCTATGGGATACTCAGGGGAGAGAGTGTTATTTCCAGTTTAAAGATGAGAAAATGAGCTCAGGGAGGGGAAAGGATCTGCTGAAGAACCCTCATCTTCTGTGTCCCAGTGCTCCTTCTAGCACCCCTTGTGGGCACATGCTGCCATGCACAATTGCCAGGAAGGCACCTGTACTTCCATTTCTCTTCTGAGCCACCCTCCAGCTTCCCCCATGCCATCACCTGTCCTAATGCCATCTTTTAGATCCTAGTGCCTTCTTTGCTCTTCCTCTCCAGGTCTCCCTTCCCAGCTGCCCCCTATATTGGAGGATGTTTTCCCGACTCCCCCTATTAGCCCTTCCTGCATTCCATTCCTTCAAGGCCCTGCTAAGTGACTGGCTAATCTGATGGCCCAAGTCATTTCAGGGTGTTAACATCTAAAAATAACTTCATTTATTACCCCCTTTTGGAAATTATTGACATTCTAATCAAAGCCTTCATTATCTCCGTGCAAAGGAAAGCATTCTAGAGCAAGCTCAGGAGGGGCAATTTAGCAATGCCCAAAGTAAAGAAAGATTTGGGGATGTTAGAGGAGTTGGTTCAATACACATTACTATCCACCTCATGATAGATTGCTGCTACTCCTTAATTAAATTTAATCATCGTTTTTATATCATATTCTTCCTTCTCGTAAGTTTCTTCATTATTATTATGAAAATTGAAGAAAAGTCCAAAGGCCAAATGATTTGGGCAATATTATTCCCGGAGTTTATCATATACAGTCAGCAATGTGAGTTGAGCTCCTGCCACATGCACAGCCTTTTCTTGGATACCTAGAGAGTTTCATGGAAAGAAAGGTGGTGGCGTGCTAGAGACTCAAGGGATGGGGAAACAGGCTTCAGCTCTTGCAAGAGGGAGCTGCGAGTCACTGTGTGAAAGGCAAGCAGGCAGAGGGGAGGCCTCTGTGGCCATTCTGCAGTGTGCTCTTCAGGACTGCACGAGCAGACTTCTCATGCCTTGAAACCGGGCTTTGGCCAGGAGAAGGGAAGCAGTAGAGCTTGCTCTGTGATAATACCTTGGATTATTGTCACCTCAGGAGCAGCTCGGAAAAGAGAAGGACCGCTCCACATGCTGTCCTACCACATTCACCATCCTGACTGCAGATATTTGGCCTCTCCTCTAACTATAAATGAACTGGCTGTGCTCCTACCCCTGCCACTCTATCTACCCGGTCACTGGAGCACATCACCGCTCACCTGTTCCAGGATGTTCATCCAGCAAATTATTCCCGTTCAAACCCCACTAGTCCACTGTCACCGTCACTCAAGGGAAATCATCTCCCAACCTGATCACTGTACCTGCCTCTTAACTGTTCTCTCTGCTTTCACCCTCATCCCCTTCACCTCTTCAGTTTCTTTTCAAGCCAGCCTCAGATCACGTGATCTTGCACAAAGCAGATTCCATCATTCCTCCACTCAGAACCCTTCCCTGCTCACATGTCACTCTACGCAAAAGCCAAAGTTCTAATCACAGCTGACAAGGCACACTGCGATCTGGCCCTGCCTGTCTCTTCTACTTCATCCTCTTCTCTCACTTTGTTCACTGTACTTTCCACATCGGGCTCTTTGCTGTGCCTTGAACATGACAAGCACGCTCCTGTGTGCTGCTTGGCCCCTTAGTTGCTATTTCCTCTGTTTGGCATCCCTTCACATGGATATTCTTATAGTTTATGTGCTCATTTCTTTCCTCTAGTGTCTGTCCAGTGTTACCTTCTCAGGGAGACCAACTACAATGACCCCGTGCATGCTCTTTCTCCTCTACTGTGTTTTATTTTTTCTCATAGCACTTTTTATATAATGTTGCTTGTTTTCCTTCTCTCCCCACTGGAATGTGGGCTCCATGAGGGTAGAGATTGTTCTGTTTGGTTTTTTTTTCCCTGTTGTATTCTCAGTACCTAGAACAATGCCCAGCATACAGCAGACACTCAATATATTTGTCAAGTAAATAAACAAATAAATGAAGAATAACATGAATAAGTAACATGTTCATGTAAATTAACCCATAGAACCCTCATGACAAACTTACTAGATAGATATTATTTTCAGTATTTTGTTGATGAATAAACTGAGTCTCAGAAAGTTTACATAGTAGATCAAACCCAGGTCTTCCATTGTCAAATGCCATCTTCATCTTGCAAATTGTAACTGTGCGTTCCTTGGAATTTTTCCTACCATGTTTCCCTCAAAATAAGACAGGGTCTTATATTTATTTTTCCTCAAGAAGACACCCTAGGACTTATTTTCAGGGAATGTATTATGTTTTTTAAGTATAGTACAACAATCTACATTTATTCAAATGGAATAATATCTTCTGGAATATCATCATAACTCTCCAAACCCCGAATTCCATCCTGAATTTCTTATGACTCTATTTCCTTTAGAACCATTGGCCCCAATCTCTCATGTCAAGCTATAGAGCTCTCATGGGGCAGATGAGAAGGGCTGCTCATCTTCTTTACTGCTCTGCAACGAAATGCATGGGTTGTGCGGATACACTGCATAGCCACGCCCATCACTAGGTCTTATTTTCGGGATAGGGCTTCTAATGCGCAAATGCTTAGAAATCCTGCTAGGGCTTATTTTATGGGTAGGTCTTGTTTTCGGGGAAACACGGTTAATCTGCTTCTGAAGTCATCAACATTGAACTAACTTACCTTTATCACTTCTCATTAAATATGCGTGTGCCCTAAGGCACAAAACTCACAAACTTTTGCACATATCATTTAGAAAAAATCAGATATATAATCAAAACTTCAAATTTATGATAAGCTGAAGATATTTCTGATCAGTTCTCCCTAGATCTGGACCCTCTCCCCAGTAAAGTGGTGCCCCACCTGCAGAAGCAGCAGCCCCCAGACAAGATTGGTCCAGCTTGCTTGAGAGTTTAAAAGTCAATTACATTTATTTTACCTTGATATTTTAAAACTTTAAATTATAATGCCACTAGTTTTTAAATGCCATGTTTTAAAAATGAAATTCGTTCCCTTCTACATGCATCAAACACAGTATTTAATTTTTGACTCAAAATTAGTTTATATCACTGTCATTTTACACCCAAATAAAGCTTTCCTCTGTTTTAGAAAAGAACTCTCTGCCAATAGATGAACAGGCTAATCATTTACTACATTTTAAATGTCAATGTATATTGTTTCATTTTTCTTTTTAGGGCCTTTGCTTTTATTATTATTATTATTATTTTTATTTATTATTTTGAGACAGAGTCTCGCTTTGTTGCTAGGCTAGAGTGAGTGCCATGGCATCAGCCTAGCTCACAGCAACCTCAATCTCCTGGCTCAAGCAATTCTTCTGCTTCAGCCTCCCAAGTAGCTGGGACTACAGCATGCGCCACCATGCCCGGCTAATTTATATTATATATTATAATATATATTATTTAGTTGCCAATTATTTCTTCTATTTATAGTAGAGACGGGTCTTGCTCTTGCTCAGGCTGGTTTCGAATCCTGACCTCGAGTAATCGCCCGCCTCGGCTCCCAGGAGAGCTAGGATACAGGCGTGAGCACCATGCCTGGCTTGCTTTATTATTAATTCATGAGAAGGTAGCATCAGAAGGGACATTGGAAGTCCTGATACAAGAATTCTTGGGGGGGGGGTCACCTTACTTTTGAATCTTGCAAACAATCAAGTGTAAACTCTCTTCCAAAAGTTTGTTGCATTTGTGAATCAGCTTCGACACCAGACAGTTCTTCTTTTTTTTACTGCCCTAAACTCATTGTTTTCTTACATCTTTTGGAGTTGGGCAGAATCCAACGTCTCTTCCACCTGCCAGCCTTCAAAGAGTTGAAGGCAGGTATGTCCTGGGTCCAAGCTAAGCACCCCAAGTCCTCCCATGTGGTCCTCGCCAGGCATTGTCTCCAGACCCGTCACTCGCTTGCTTGCCTCTGGGCAGCGCCCACTTCCACTAAACAGCTTCCTTTTGTGAAATGTGACATTTTAAACTGATCATAATAGTCCAGATTTGTTCCGAACAGCGCAGAGGAACTGCTCCTCCTTCCTCCTGCACACCGTGCATCTGTTAACACAGCCCACATTCGCACTTGTTTCGTTGGCAGCCTTGTCCCAACTTTTGACTTATCCTGAATTTTTGATCAGAAAGTTTCCTTTTGGCCTGGTGCGGTGGCTCATGCCTATAATCCTAGCTCTCTGGGAGGCCAAGGCGGGTGGATTGTTTGAGCTCAGGAGTTCGAGACCAGCCTGAGCAAGAGCGAGACCCTGTCTCTATAAAAATAAAAAATAAAAATTAATTGGCCAACTGAAAATAGAAAAAAAATAAAATAAAAAAAAAGAAAGAAAGAAAGTTTCCTTTGCATAATGGGCTTTGAGTTTCTGGCGGGCAGGAAGTATAAGTACAAACCTCCATGTGAGAAACCGGGTGTCCCACAGTCTGATCGCTCTTCAGGTTTGGGCTCTGCCCCTGTCTACTCCTCTGCGTGGAGCATTGCTCCAGCCTGGCAGTCTGCTCACCACCTTCCTCGCTGCTGCTCCGTCCTGCCCCGTGAGGCAGAATTACCTACACTTTCCATACAATGCGGATGCGATTCCATCTCCTCCTGGCTTTAAAACATTTGCTACTTCACACTGCAAAGGGCACACAGAGGTCTTCATAGCATGGGCCCCGCCTGCTTTGTTTGCTAAGCTCACGTCTCCCCATCCTTCTCTTCCTTTCTCCCCAGCCCAACCAGTAGTAACTAGCTGGCCTTCCTCTGGGAACAGAGCACATCACTAGTGCGTCACTTGCTGTGGTCTGCTGTGGTCACAGTTGGGAGTATGCGTTCCCTACTAGATTGTAAATGCCTTTGGGGTGTGGTATTTTGCTCATCTTTGTAGTCTAGCATCAGACCTGGCATAGAGTGGATTCCAGTGAAAGGTGGTTGAATGATGGGAGTGTGTGTGTGGCGGGGGAGATGGATGGTTGATGGGTGGACGCATGCATGCGCGACTCCTACTGGGACTTAGAGGGTTTGGAGGGCAGGGCTCAAGTCTGTGCTGTGCTGCATCTCCACTGCTTCCCGGGGAAGGCTCTCAGTCAGCGTCCGGATCATCCATGTCTCCTCATCTCGCTCTGCACCTGTCCTGAGCACGCACACTCGGGACACCCAGGTGAAGGTGTAGACACATATACATGGCTATTTTCAAGTTTGTCTCATGATTCTTCCTTCTCTGTCTCTCTCCGCCCTCCCCCCTTGTCTCCAATGCCTCTCTGCTGTCACCCTCCCTCCCTCCCGCCTGCTGTTCCCTCCCTGTCATCGGTGCTCTCTCCAGCCAGTGTCTGCTCCCCCGTGTGTGTGGAAGTGCCCTCGGAGACGGAGGCCGTGCAGGGCAACCCCATGAAGCTGCGCTGCATCTCCTGCATGAAGAGGGAGGAGGTGGAGGCCACCACGGTGGTAGAATGGTTCTACAGGCCCGAGGGCGGTAAAGATTTCCTTGTATGTCTGCCTGCTGACTCTGGCCTCTCTTTGCTGGCCTCTGTGGCCATGTGCCTGCCTCCTGACAGTCCGGGAGATGCCAGGCCTTCAAACACTGGCTCTTTCTGTCCCAAGCACTGACAGCTCCTCAGCAGATAACTGACAGTTTTAGTTCAGCTTTTGTGAAAGGAAGGGCATTTGGCCAACTGCAAGCACGCCTGGTTGCAAGCAGGGAGGAGAAAGAGATAAACTGTATTTAAAAGCCTACTATGTGACAGACAGCCTGTCAGGCAGGTGTTTTTATTTAATCTTATGCATCATCCTATTAGATAGATAAAATTCATATAATGATGCTTCCTAAAATAACAGGAAGCATCATAATATGAAATAACGCAGGTTAGCTCCTTTAACTTTCACAATCTCAGTGAAATAGGCACAGGGATGACCCAGGCTGGCACTCAACTGCTACGCCCAGTACAGCCACATCAGTGGGTACATATTTAGATTATTCTATAGCAGATACTTGCTGTGCCAAGTCTCCCAAGTGGCCCCACCACCATCCTTCCCTCTCGGAACTCCCAGACCTCCCCGTGATCTAGAAACTAAGGGATTCACCGCTGGCAGGTGAAGTGCTCATGCATTTTGAACACCACCTTGGGGATGACAATCATTTACACGTTCACTGACTCCAGAGCCAGGTTGCCTGGGTTTGATTCTTCTCTCCACACTTATTAGCTCAAAATAGTTCCTGGAACACAGTAAGCACTATGGTAAGTATTTGCTAGAGAAAAGATATGTATACAGAAACGAGGAAACTGAGGCTCAAAGAAGTTAGTAAGGTAGCTTAGATGTGAGCCAGGCGGTCTGACAGCAGACACGAGGCAGCTGAATACACAGGTATTCTTACTGCACCCCCTTGCCTTCCTGGGGGCAAGTTTCTCCTCCACAAAGATTTGTTAATGGAGACAACAGCAGGGTGAACTTGAGTTTTGCTTACTCTTCTTTGTAGCTTTCCTAAAGCTGAACTCCTTTCTAATCTAGGTTCCATGTGCCATTTGGATGTAGATTTGCTCCAATCAGGCGCCAAGACTGGGACCAGCAGAGACTCCTCAGTCTGGCTCAGGCTTGACAGCAACACATCAGCAAAGCTGCAACCAGGGCCAGTACCCAGCTGCCTGACCTGCGTCCAGGCCTGCCCAAAGTGAGGGGAGGGTGGCTCTGAAGGAGGAAAAGGAACTGGAACAACAATAGTGGAAGTCCAGAGCAATGCTATCTGATAGAAATGTTCATGATGCTGGAATGTTCTCTACCTGTGAGGTCCAATACAGTGGCCACTAGCCCCATATGGCTACAAACACTTGGAATGTGGCTAGTGCGACTGAGGAACTAAATTTTACATTTTATTTAATTTCTAGGAATTTAGCTTTGAATTTAAGTAGCCATGTGCAGCTAGTGGAGACTAGAATGGACAGCACAGCCGCAGGTGTGTCAGGTCAGACAGCAGAAGGGTTTGAGAGAAAAGAAATGTAAGAGACCAGATTTCAGTTATAACTCAGCCCAAAGCCAAAACCCTGGCATGCGCCTCCCAGGTGGCGGCACTGTGCTCACTGCCACGCTTTGGTGTTCCGGATCCCCCTCCCACGGCTGGCCCAGACTGCCCTGCAGCCCCGGATAAGCACCAGCTTGCAGAGTTCAGGGCTCTCGGGTGTCCTCATTACTAATGAAACTGCCTCTCTTGGTCTCTACACCTTGTTCTCTTACTGGTGTCCTTGTGACACACCCTGCCCTCTCTCTGTCCTCTTCTGTCTCCTCCTTCCAATCCTTTCTCTCTCTCATTTCCTTCTCCTGGTCTCCCGTATTCTTCTCTCACCTCTATTCTGCCTCTTTCCATCTCTTCTCTTCTGCCAAGCTCTTGCCTACCCCTTGCTGCCTAGAGACTTCGTGCCTCTTCATCCCACCCCATGTTCTGAGTCTCCCAGGGCCATGTCCCTTCTCTGCCCTGTCCATGCACAATTCTGCTCCTTTTCTCTGCCCTGCCCCCATCTGGGCTCTCCTACCCTCTGTCCTCTCCTGGCCTACCCTCCTCTGCTCCTCTGCCTGCAGATCTACGAGTATCGGAACGGCCACCAGGAGGTGGAGAGCCCCTTCCAGGGGCGCCTGCAGTGGAACGGGAGCAAGGACCTACAGGATGTGTCCATCACTGTGCTCAACGTCACTCTGAATGACTCCGGCCTCTACACCTGCAACGTGTCCCGGGAGTTTGAGTTTGAGGCACATCGGCCCTTTGTGAAGACGACACGGCTGATCCCACTCCGGGTCACCGAGGAGGGTGAGGCTGAGACACAGAGTCTCTAGGGCATCCTGCTCTTTGGGGGCGGGGGTGAGGGGGACCGGCGGATTTCCACACAAGTGAGACCCTTGGAGAGTACAAAAACCCACGTATTTGGAGTGGTGACATCTGAAAATGTCACCATTGACCCATCTTCCTTTGGCAGCCAGCTTCCTGCAAACTGCCCACCCATCTTGCCTCTCTATGCCTTTCCCCATAGCAGAAAGTCTTGGAGATGATAGTAGAAGGACCTCTTCCCAGTCCCTTTGAGAAAGAGGATGGCCTCCATGAGGCCTAAAGCTACTGATTCAGCTCCTCTTTCTTCACTGGTTGGTGTCGAACTCCCGACTCAGTGGGCTCTGAGATATCTCATGAGGTTATCTAGAAGTCATATCACTTCCTGTCTATAAGTAATACATATCTCTAATCCAGTGGTTTTCAAATTTTGGCAAGCCTCAAAAACTCCTGCAGGGCTTTTTAAAACCCAGATCTTCTGCTACTGTAGGCAGAGGCTGAGAGTTTGCATTGTCTAACAAATCGCTGGGCCACATGGTTGCTGCAGGGGACCACACTTTGAGAACCACTCTCTAAACCAAAGTTTGGTAATCTTTTTGTCTTTTGCCTTTCTCCAAAATAATTACACATGCAACTTGTTCCCTATCTGTGGCATCTCTCATTATATAAATTCATTCTTAGCTGAGGGAAGAGGATAAGTTGATAGCTTTCTAGTCTGTAATTTAAAATCTTTAGGATGGGCGTTGTGGCTCACACCTGTAATCCTAGCACTCTTCGACGCCAAGGCAGGCAGATTGTTTGAGCTCAGGAGTTCCAAACCAGCCTGAGCAAGAGCAAGACCCTGTCTCTACTAAAAAAAATGGAAAGAAATTAGCTGGATAACTAATATATATATATATATATATATATATATATATATATATATATATATATAATGCCTGGCATGGTGGCACATGCCTATAGTCACACTTACTCAGGAGGCTGAGGCAGGAGGATTGCTTGAGCCCAGGAGTTTGAGGATGCTGTGAGCTAGGCTAACACCACAGCATTCTAGCCCAGGCAAGAGAATAAGATTCTGTCTCAAAAAATAAAAAATCTTCAGATTCCTACAGCTATTTACTTATTAGTAAGTGAGAAGTCCTTCCAGGAAGCTAACTCAAATGTTTCTGTTGCAATCTGAGTCCAGAATCCTGAGGGTGACATTATAGCCCTTCTCAGACAGTCTCTTTCCAGCATGTTCCTAGCATTATCGCGGCCCCCAGATGCAGGCTAGTGAGCAGGCCATGGTGTGGGGTGTGAAAGAAGAGATCAAGTTAGGTAGGGCTCTTTCTAGAAAGGGGATCCAGGAATCCCAACCTCTAGGCCACAAGTTTACTTATTTTTTTTATCATGTTGTTGTGATAAAAATAATGAAGCAAAGATTGTTCAGTCTTGAGAGTGAACGGAGAAGAAAGAGGCATAACACGTCAGACAATAGGACTGAAATGGAAGGTAGGTCAATTCCGAAAGTGCAGAAGGACTCTCAGGCTACCTGAATCAAGATGTGATGAGTCAGTTCCATTCTCTGAGCCTGTCTCCTCGTCTCCTGTTGTGTAAAATGAAGGGGTTGGACGGGAAGCTCTCTAAGGTATCCTCCTGTTCAGGTTCCATTATCCTGTTTACACACCTCTCCTCCCTGGGGGAGGGGGCCTGGAGCCCTCTACTGGTCACCTTTGGGAACTGCCGGCTGGTGCCAGCCAGACCCTAGCAAAGGTGCCTCTACCTTTGACTCTCTCAGGCTTTTGCCTCCGGGGACCCTCCAGGGCAGCTGGTGGCAAGTGGCAAAGCTGAGCTAGTCCGCCTACCAGGCACCAGAGCAAGCCTCGGGTAAAAAGAGAAGGAAAAACAAGTTTATTATCAGAACCACTGTGCCTCGCAGATGGTCGGGCTGGGAGGGTGCTTGGATATCATTGAATCCAGGGCTTCTGAACAAACAGCAGGCATCAGAATCACACAGACTGGCTTTCTGCAAATGTGGACACTTCCGTACCACCATTGCAGGTGTGATTTCAGTAGGTTTGGGTGAGGTCTGGCATGCATAAAGCTGAAATGACTCCCCAGGTGATGGGCAGGTGCAGCTCCGGTGCCCCTCTTTATGTGGCTGGGGGAACAGAGCTCTGCAAGAGTGAGAGGATTGCCCAGGGACAGGAAGCAAAATAGCACCAGAAGCAGAACTGAAATCCAGAGCTTTTGCCTGTCAGGCTGGCTGTGTTTCCACTGCCTCTTCCCCACCACCCCCCATCATCCCCAGCCCCTGCTACCTTTCCTTTTCTTTGTTTGTCTCTGTGACCCCTTGACAGTCCCTCCCCACCAGATGCTCACTGCCCTCATGCTCAGAGCTGCACACACCTCACCCCATCTCCATTCCCGTGGGCCCCGGGAGCCTCCCTGGTTCTCTTTGTCCAGGTTGTATTTGTCCTGTCTTAGGCTGTCACTTCTTGGCCCTAATACAGAAACCTGAGGCTTCTTCACCTAGCAATGAGTAAAAATTCTGAGGGTATCTTCCTGTGTTACTGCTTCCTGGGCTATTGCATTTAAAAAGAGACCGCATGCTTTATGCCAAACACATCACAATTAGTGCATCAGGCAGCTGCCAGCCTTTGAGAGGCATTTGAGGTGGATGGTGGTATTCTTATGTGCTAGCTGAAGGTCATGGCTGGCTGTGGTGTACTTCTTTTTTTTTTTTTTTGAGACAGAGTCACACTTTGTTGCCTAGGCTAGAGTGAGTGCCGTGGCGTCAGCCTGGCTCACAGCAACCTCAAACTCCTGGCTCAAGCAATCCTTCTGCCTCACCCTCCCAAGTAGCTGGGACTACAGGCATGCGCCACCATGCCCGGCTAATTTTTTCTATATATATTAATTTCTTTCTATTTTTAGTAGAGACGGGGGTCTCGCTCTTGCTCAGGCTGGTTTCGAACTCCTGACCTCGAGCAATCCGCCCACCTCGGCCTCCCAGAGTGCTAGGATTACAGGCGTGAGCCACCGCGCCCGGCCTATGGTGTACTTCTAACAGGCAAGGCCTTGGGGATGACTTCGCTGTTCTGGTTATCTGTGAACCAAGAATCTAACTTGCTGGTAGGAGCTGGCAAGGGGTGACAGGGCTGCAGTCTTCTTCCCACTAGCAGGGAGTGTGTGTGTGTGTGTGTGTGTGTGTGTGTGTGTGTGTGTGTGTTTGTTTCAGGACATCTGGCATGTGACATGTTTTAATGGTCATTTTTGTTGGTCATGAAACAAAGAAGATCAGTACTTACTTATATTCACTTATTCAACACATACTTATTGAGCACTTCAATTATTCCAAGATGAGACAGCAGGCTGGTATTTCAGAAATATCGATAACCATGTTCTCAGTAAGCACACAGTCAGCAGAAAAGAGAGATAAACACGTCACAGTACAACCTGAGAACTCCCTGCCCGGATGAAGAAAGTGCGTGGAGAGGGCGTGAATGATGCTGCATGAGGAGCTGAGGACGGTTTGACACAGGAGGGACTTGGTGGAGTCTAGAAGGACACCTGGGAGACTGAAATGCAGGATGGGCGGTTAGGACAGAAGTAGTGGTGGTGGGGGGCGAGGTACAATCCAGGAAGAGGGAAGAGGAAGCAATGCCCACAGATTCAAAAATAGCGCAGTGTCTGTGAGAAGCATTCTGGCCAACCAAATGGCGATGTGGTGAGCAGGGCTGGGTTGTGAAGGGCCCTGCGTGTCATGCGAACAGAGGCCAGGCTGCTTCCCACGGGCAGCATGGAGCACTGAAGGACATGAAGCAGGGGAGTGGCAGGGTCCAATCTGAGGAGAGACCGGTTAATGCACCGAATCCTCCAGACTTATTTCTGTTCGGGTCTGGGATGACCTGGAAGGTCCTCGTTTCTAATCCAGATTTGTAGAGAACATGCTTGTATCACTGGGTGGGCTGTTTTGTCACCGCATGAATTTTCCAGTGCGCTCTCCCGAGGGATGGGGACACTCCACCCCCTGCTCAGAGGACGTGAGTGGTTGCAATAAGGCATGTTCCTGACACCTGTGTAGACTTTCAGATCTTATGAGATGTTCTTAAACACATTGGGTAATGCAATATTCACAACAACCCTGACTGGTGTCAATTATGATCCTCACTTTACAAATTAAGAAACTGAGTCTCCAGTAAGGGAAATGACTATTTACACACCAGTAAATAGCAAAATTGGGACCCAACTCTCTGTATTTAGCTCTGAGTCCAGGGTTCCTTCAGCTACTCTCTTCTGTCTTTGTCACCCGTCCCTCTCCGCCAGCCCTGTCTGCAGAGCAGCTGAGGAAAGGCAGTGAGAAAGCCACGGACAGGAGAGTCAGAGGGTGTGGAATTCCTCTGACAAGATATCTTGAGTGTCTTCAGACTCAGTGCTTATTTAGGCCATACTTAAAAACAGGCCTCATATTTCTATGGCCCCAGTGGCAGCCATGGGTTTGTGGGACACACATTCTGAGCCTCAGTCTCTTCCTTCCAGCCGGAGAGGACTTCACCTCCGTGGTCTCAGAAATCATGATGTACATCCTTCTGGTCTTCCTCACCTTGTGGCTGCTCATCGAGATGATCTATTGCTACAGAAAGGTCTCCAAGGCGGAAGAGGCGGCCCAAGAAAATGCGTAAGTCCCCAAATGCCAGAGTAATAGCGATGGCTAGCGCCTTCGGAATACTTGCCCTGGCAGGTGAGGCGCTACGCAATGTACACATAGCCCCCGCCTTCTTCCTCATAGCAACCTATGAGGTAGACACCATTCTTATACCCATTTTACAGATGAAGACCCTGAGTGGGAGAGTTCGCCTGAGGCCATTGTAACAGGCAAAATGAGCTTCAAATTCAGGTCTGCTGATTCTTGGCCTGCACACTTAACCAGTAAGGCAAACACCATCAGCTGCCACCACAACCCCATGAAACTAGCATTATTATAACCACTTTATAAATGCCAAAGCAGGCTCATAGTGGCTTGCTGAGGCACACGGACAGTGAGAGGAGAAGCTGGGATTTGAACCCAGGCCTCTCCATTCCTAACGTCCATGCTCTTTCTATCACATTCAGCTGTTAGCTCTACACCACGGAGTTAGTTCCTCGGGCCACCTGGGCACTGCCCATTGTTGGCTAAGGAGCTCCGGGCAGCACGTTCTTCCCCCCAGAAGCTGGCAGTGACTGAATACGCAGAGTGAGGCCCCTAATCCTCTAACGTCCAGCCTGTACCTCGGCCATGTTCTCCGAGACCCCAGTCACTCCAGCATGAGCACGTATGATGGGGTCTGTAAGACTAAAGGGCCCATAAGAGACCAAGCTGGCCTGTTATTTGGGGATAAGAAAGAGAGGGAAAAACCCCACAGGTTTCTAGCAACGTTGCTGAAGCAATAACCTAAAAAGCCTAGCCTTAGAAAGCCACTTAGAAATATTTGATAAAATTTTTAAAAAGCATCATTTTACATGATATATATGATGATCTCGGGGAAGTAAAAAATTACAATTGACCAGACATGAGGATAGAAAGAAGTGTTATGTTGAGGGAGGTTGTAATTCCTCTCAGATAGAAAGAGCCTACAGTTGGGCCTGCATAAGAAACAAAGTTGGGCCAGGCTCAGCGGCTCACGCCTGTAATCCTAACACTCTGGGAGGCTGAGGAGCAACAAATATTCTCCAGTACCTGGGAATGAATCTGACAAAAATTTGTAAGACATTTAAGGAGAAAATCACAAAACTTTACTGAAAGACTTAAGACTTAAAGAGATGGAAAATAACACCTCACTATTGTAAACAATTCTCTCCCAAATTAATCATCAAATTCAATGAAATTCCAATCAAAATGCCCAGTGGATTTTTGAAGAAACTTAGTAAGCTGATCTTAAAAGTCACGTGGAAGGTGAAAGGGCCAAAAATAGTCTACACCAGAGGAGAGCCAGGCAGTAAGCATAAAGAAAGAAAGAAAAGAAAAGAACCAAAGTTGGAGCAGAGACTCCCTGCAGCCCCAGGATCCTCAGAGGGCCACAATTCACACAAAGGATAGACCAGAAAATAATCAGCCCACCCACTCAGGGAAAAGCCAAGGAAACATCCATCTTGGCCTGACTCCAAGATGAAAAATAAAAAATTCTTGAGGATTAGTAACAACAAACCTGATCTCACAATGTTTGGAATTTAAATCTACCCACATGATCGAAGAACCTCTAAGCTGAGAAATTCAATAAAAATCAGTCCCCCGGCCAGTGATAACCATGAATGCCTTATGGAAGCCATGGAAACCAAAGGGACGCGCCTGCAGCCAAGGCCTAACTGGATTCCCCAGGTAAATGCTGATCTGATTTCACAGTCCAATCCCAAACCCACAGACACAGCAGAGAACAATCCAGCACGAGCAAGACGCGCAGCAAATGGCAGGATTTAATCCCAGGAGCTCAGACACAAGGAGGGCCTGATAAAGTATAGAAAATGAGCTTGTTTAAAACAGTTAAAACAATAAAAGAAAAAAAAACCCCAAAGCATAAGAATAGAGTAACTTGCTCAGAAAAATGGGCAGATTTAAATAGGAACCCAGAAAAGAAATTTTGGAAATGAAAAATATAGTCAATAAAATTTAAAACTGAACGCATTGGTTGGACAGAAGATTAGATGCCAGTAACTAGGAGACAAAGGTTAAGAAGTTGCACAGAATGAAGCACAGAGATATAAAAAATGTGAAATATAACAAAGAAGCATGAAGGAGGCCGGGCGCGGTGACTCACGCCTGTAATCCTAGCACTCTGGGAGGCCGAGGCGGGCGGATTGCTCGAGGTCAGGAGTTCGAAACCACCCTGAGCAAGAGCGAGACCCCGTCTCTACTATAAATAGAAAGAAATTAATTGGCCAACTAATATATATAGAAAAAATTAGCCGGGCATGGTGGCACATGCCTGTAGTCCCAGCTACTCGGGAGACTGAGGCAGAAGGATTGCTTGAGCCCAGGAGTGTGAGGTTGCTGTGAGCTAGGCTGACACCACGGCACTCACTCTAGCTGGGCAACAAAGCGAGACTCTGTCTCAAAAAAAAAAAAAAAAAAAAAAAAGACGCATGAAGGAAACAGAATGAGAAGGTCCATTAGAACAGAACACAGAGAATGGAGGAGAGACAGTATTCAGAGAGAGAATGGCTAAGGAAAGGGATGACTCTTTCTCTTTTTATTTATTTATGTCTAATTTCATCTGCTTACCTTGTTTAAGAAGGGATGACTCTTAAGGGTCAAGAAGCACAATATGTCCTGAGCAGGATAAATCTGTACCTAAACACCAAGCATCCTCAAAGTGGTAAATGGCAGCTACTGAGGCAGCCACAGCAAATATCATCTGTGTGTTGGAACTTTATAAGAAATGTCTGTAATACAGAAAATGCCGAAGATAGCACCTCTTCTGCTTCTATTCAATATTGTATAGGAGATCCTAGGTAGTATACTAAGTAAATACAAAGAATAAAAGGATAAACATTGGAAAGGAAGAAACTAAGTTGTCGTTATTCACAACTGTAATTATTGACATAGAAGATCCAAGAGAATCTATAAACGAACTGTTAGAACTAATAAGAACATTCTAAAAGGTTGTTGATACAAATAAAACTATAAAAAAATCACTTATAGTCCATTCACAAATTTAGGAACACATTTAAATATTTAAAACATCTTTTAAAAATTTTAAATTACTATAGCAACAAATATTCTCCAGTACCTGGGAATGAATCTGACAAAAATTTGTAAGACATTTAAGGAGAAAATCACAAAACTTTACTGAAAGACTTAAGACTTAAATAGATGGAAAATAACACCTCACTATTGTAAACAATTCTCTCCCAAATTAATCATCAAATTCAATGAAATTCCAATCAAAATGCCCAGTGGATTTTTGAAGAAACTTAGTAAGCTGATCTTAAAAGTCACGTGGAAGGTGAAAGGGCCAAAAATAGTCTACACCAGAGGAGAGCCAGGCAGTAAGCATTGCAGGATCCATACTCAAACATGTTGTCTCCGACACATACTGTCCTTTGGTTTTATTTGTTTGCAAACAACCATTTTTAGCTCTGGGGCCATAGTTTGCTCAGTCCTGGTCTAAACCATTTCAAAGACAGAGCAATAAGTTTGGAAGAGGTGGCTGGTAGGACTCCCCTTATCAGAGATTGAGATTTCTTGTGAGCTATCAGAATAAGAGTTTGTGATGCTGACAGAGGTATACAAAGTGAACAAACAGAACAAAACAGAAAGTCCCCAAATAAGTTAATGCACGTGATATGAAAACTTGATATGTGACAGAGACAACATTACCATCACTGAAGGAAGACTGAATTGTCTAACATGGTCTAGAGAAATTCTTAATTCATATGGGAAAAAAAGTTAGATCCCCAACTCTCGCACTAAACAAAAATAGTGGACTAAAAGACAGAGTAAAATGTAAAACTTGAAAATTCTATAAGGTAATATAAGAGAATATCTTTATTACCTTAGAATAGAGAAGATTTCTCAAATAAAAAACACAATTCAAAGAGGAAAAATAAATTTGATTACCTTTTATGCAAAAATCAGTTGCTCATTATAAGAATCCATAAGCAAAATTTATAGACAAACAACAGACTGGGAGACATTTTCAAGATATGAAATGAGCAAAAGACAAATATTGCAGAACAAAAACTGACAAAACAAATGAACACTCAAATTTCAGAAGCAGAAACCCAAATAGCCTGTAAACATAAGAAAAGATACCTCACGGTACTAGTAATTAGGGAATGAAAATTAAAACAACTATAAAATATAGTTTCATACACATCAGTTGAACCAACATTTTAATCTAAGTCTTGGAGACAATGTGGATAAATGAGAATGCATACAGTGCGTGTAGAAGTGTTTATGTGCACATGTGGGGAGGCATGTTCTACAAGGGTCACCCTAGTTTTCTCTGGGGAAACACATCTAAAAGGAAATGCAGAGCTGTTCTGGAGGCATCCTATTCCTGTGCCCCGCTCCTTCCCCTGCCTCGTGTCCCCACTACCAGGAGCTGAAGCTCTGACTCTCTTCCATCCATGTCCTCTGTAGGTCTGACTACCTTGCCATCCCATCAGAGAACAAGGAGAATTCTGCGGTACCAGTGGAGGAATAGAACAGAAGCAGTATGCCTGGAGGTGACGAATAGGGACTTGGGAGGGGAAGGTGGATGTGGATGGCAGGTTGCACAAGTGGTGTCACCCACAACTGAAGTGACTTTTGATTTGGTCCCTTAGATCAATGTCTACCCCTCCCAGAGTCCCCACCCTCAGGATACTTAGGATACTTCTTTAGGCTGATGCCTGAGTCACAAAACTCTGTATGATATGAAGCCCTTCAGAAGTGAATTGCCTTGGCCTGAATGTTGGGGCAACTTGAACTTGCCCACTGTGACAAAGGCATAATAATTCTCCCACTCCCTCCTTTGGCCAAAGAGTCTTGGGCTGGGCCTGGAAATTCTCAGTGAGTTGTTTTATCATTGGTAGGTGGCCTAAACACTGAGGGACCGGCTATTCCAGGTTCAGTGATGTCAACAGTGTCAGGAGGGGACCCCACGGGGCCCCATCTCTTCCCTTCACGCCCATCCTTCTATTTGTTCACCCATACATCTACCCATCTCTGAGCTCTCACCTCTGACTGCCTAGCCCCATCAGACCTCTTCACACTATAAGACTTTGCCAGAACCAAGCAGCCAACATTTCTACACGGATTCAACCTCACTTTGTCCTAGCTCTGTTTGAAATCTGAAGGCAACTGGATTGCTCCCCTGTGCTTAAATGACTTAGTTATAAGTGCTGGAGGTAGCATCTCCCTCTGCCCTTCACTGGCTGGGACTGGCTCATTCTCCACCGCTGCGAGAGAATGGATGTCTTGATAGAAGGAAGCAAACTTAAAGCAGAATCATGTCATGAACTTGGATTCCAGGAAGTCAGTTTTTCCAAGTTCTCGGCCCACTGGGTCAAAGAAATCAGAGCAAAGTGTGCGTCTTCTAGGTTCTCCAGTGATGGATCCTTGAGCATGACTGACATGCTAGATCCGGATTGGTCTCCAAGGCCTTGGTTGGACTCAGTCCTCCCAAGAACAAGGACAGAAGACTTGGAAAGGACCAATGGTAATTTAAGTGGCTCTTAAAAGTCATACATGTCCCGATCCTGTTGTGATGATGTAGGTGTGCCCTCCCTGGGGAGCACACCACCTGGGCACTGGGACTGAAATTCTGAAGTTCTTCCTCTCAAAATCTCTGTGGATCAGTATTATTCTTCATTTTGCAAGAGACTCGAACAGGACTCAACTGAATAGGAGGCTCAACTGCATCTGAGAATGCTAATTAGACTAAGAAAAATGCTTTTTGGTCTGAGATGGATGATGAATAAATGAGCAAAGTGATAGGGGAAGGATGGGTAGGTGGCTTCCTAATACTTCACCTAGGAGAAGATGCAATGTTCAGAGTCCCTCCCCCAACCCACCCCAGATTTTGAGAGAGCAGAGAAAATGGGAAAATTTTTAGTCATTATCTCATGTTTCATTTTAATTGAGTGACTGGTCTAAGTGTGATAAGAGGGGGAAAGATGCCTTATGGGATATAAGAAGAGGGGGACTGGGATTCAATAAGAGATGCCCCTGAGATCTGGGGAGATTTGCAAGAAAAGAACATATTTCATTGGTTTTGGGCTTCACCTGACAAGCTCAGTTTTTCATCTCTTCTTTCCCTAGGAAGTATCTGAAATGAGACCCCTTAACACATTGTAAAGAATCAAATGTTCTTGAAGAAAATATTTGCAATAAATTCAAGAGTCTTCTTATTGGTAATTTCCCACACAATCCCTCTGAAATAGAGAATAGAGACCATTTTTCTTACTTTATAGTTAGGAAAATTGTACTTAGGGTGAGGTTTTCCCAGCCTCATGGCTGGTGGATGTCATAGCTTATTGCAATAGCAGGCAACTCACTGCCACTCCACTTGCCTCCTGGTTCCAGTGAACCATTCATCGAACTCGTAACCAAGTCATGACTGCCTTTATCTTTTTTCTTTTCTTTTTAAAAAACCCAACTCAGATGTTTCCTGAATGGTTTTGAATGAAGCTGAATGGTGCCTATCATTTATTTATCCAAGTTATCTTCTCTACTCTTTTCCTTTTTCTAACTTCTCAACTGTTATCATTCTTGATACTTACATTAGAACTATATGGCTGGGCGCAGTGGCTCACGCCTACAATCCTAGCACTTTGGGAGGCAGAGGTGGGAGGATTGTTTGAGGCCAGGAGTTTGAGACCAGCCTAAGCAAGAGACCCCCATCTCTACAAAAAGCAGAAAAATTAGCTGGATGTGATGGCGTGCACCTATAGTCCCAGCTACTAGGGTGGCTGAGGCAGAAGGATCGCCTAATCCCAGGAGTTTGAAGTTGCAGTGAGCTACCATGATGCCACTGCAGTTTAACCTAGATGACAGAGTGAGACGCTCTCTCCAAAAAAAAAAACACAAAAAAACTATATGGTTTACAAAACATTTTCAATTATTTCTTCTCTACAACTGGCCCTGAGAGGTAGATATTGTTAATACTCGTGTTACAAAGAAGAAACTGAGGCTAAGGTTAAGTAGCTTTATTAAATCTTAAAGTCACCTCGCTGGTAAGCAGAGAGCTAGAATGCAGATCTTCTGACTCCTATCCCATTTCTCTTTCCACTTAGACCATAGCCGCTTGCTTTCTTATTTTTTTAACTCCCACTTAATCTTTGCCTTTCTTGCTTATCCTAATGTTCACCATCTCCTCTCACCCCGAATCACACTCGCTGCTTCTCTGCTGCTTTGCTTTTTGGTAGATGCTAGAAATGTGCTTTCAGAGTCAATTCTATTTTGGTTCTCTTTCCAGTTGGTTTATACATCGTTATTTTTCCTGAACTGCAATTAAACTCCTTCCTGGGAGACTTGATCATGATTAAATCTACAAGGTACTGTGATCACCAGCCTACGTCACATCTCCACCCACCTCCCTGTTTCTTCCCTAATTCCTACAAAAGACCCAGACTAGACGTTTGTGGCTCTGGAAGCTTTATCTGGCATGCTGTTGCTTATTAAAGGGCTTAGAACAGTTCTCAAGGGCTATTAGCACTTTCGAAACCCCATCTGTTGTCTTGGTGCTGGATCCTTCCCATGCCTGGTCCTCGATAACACAATTCACTGAAGGTCGAGAGAGGCTCAGTCTGAGTTTCCGTTTCTTACGGCCTAACTGCCAAGAACTTGGTTGCCCAACTCAGTTGGCCCTGAAAGCACCTTGCTGAGCTTTACCGTCAGTTCAGTCTTGTACTGAAGCCCCGACTCCCGCGTGGACAGTCAGTCCCTGTCCTTACCCCAGCCTTTATTCTCACCGTCTGACAGCACGATCCCTTAGTTTCTCCATCCCCAAACACCCACGCGTCCAGGCTTCCTTCAGAGTTCTGGTTTCTCCTCAGATGTCAAACTAGAACTATTCCTATGGAAGGGATTTTTCAAAGCAGGAATATGCTAGGAAATGTGTAAAGCAGTGGGTGGTTAAGAGAAGAGACAGCAGCTTCCTCCACTCCCCCCAGTAATGGATCAAAGGGGAAAATATTCCCCAACTCAGAATCTGTGCATCCTCCTCACATAAATTGGAGGGCAAAGGCTATGTCACTGCATCTTTGCAGGAAGGAGGAGCAAGAGCTAGACACATTTCAGAATAGATCTTGGTTCCCTTTTCCCATTTTAACATGGAAATGGAAAAACAACAAAAACAAAAAGAAGCCTTCTCACCTCATTTTGTAAATGAAAAAATCCCTAACTCAATGAATTCCCCTAGTCGCCGCAAATGTATCTCAATAGTACTTGCTGTCCTCATCGATCCACTCATCCATTCATTCTGCAAACATTTTTCGGCACCCACTCTGTCAAGCCTAGACCCTCAGTGTGCTCCATGGTTTTAGGTGTAAAAAATAGCATCATCGAAGCCTTATTTAATCTCTAAAATCTCCAGTGGTGGATAGCTCATGTTTAGTTCAGCCCACTTCCTCCCCTTTACATGAGTTTACAGTAGACCCAGGACATAAGCACTTCTAAGCGACTTGCAAACCAGACTCCACTTCTTCCCCGGGCCAGCTACACCTCAGAGCTGGCCACGCTCTGTCCTTTCTGCCTGTGTCACCGTCACAGCTTGGCAAGAGCTGCCTCTGCTGGGCAGCACGTTTGTGATGCAAAGGGAGGCCGCTGAAGGCCGAGTGCTTGCAGGTTTGCGAATCACCATCAAACATAGCAAACTCTAACGATCTTGCAAAACGTGCAACTATTTCCCACGTTGTCACCTTCATATTGCTTTTTCTTGGTTTTCCACAGCCAATCTTTTTCTGAACTCTAGAAATGTTCCTGACCACCCAAGCCCTCAACAACCTAATGCCTGTATGTGGTGTTTTTCAGTAAACTTCCCATTCGTGTCAATAAAGTATCTCTAAAAACTGCTTGCTCTGGCTTGACTCTACTTACTACTACGTGCATCTATTTCAGAGACAATGGCTCCCCCAGGACCCCAGCCTGCATCCCTGGACCCAGTCAGGGGATATGTGCGAGAAAATGAAACACACGTTTAAGTCTGGAATTAAACACATGCTAATTAATGTGTGACCTAGCCTTCCCTCTGCCCCGTTCCTCCTCTACCCAGATACAAAGGAATAACAGAGTCACTTGTGTTCTTGCCTGGCATGAAACGAGCTTCCTAACCAGGTGTACAGGAGCCAACTGTAAGGCAGACCTAATGAAAGGAAAGGCCAAACTGGCATGAGATTAAAAATCATCTTAGTACGACACCAGCTGCCATACAAATATATGTGTGTATTTTTTAAAAATATCATCTCTGAAACACGGAGGCTTGGAGTGACGCATGGGGCCCAAGGTCACATAGTTGATAAACGGTAATGCTGAAATCTGTACTCAGGTCTGGTTCCAACCCTTCTCATCCATTCCACTTCCTTGGGCTGCCTCCCTCCCCTGACAAGGTGGATGGCCGTGCATGTGTGTATAGGCATGTGTACAGGCATGTGTACAGGCGTGCCTACGTGCACACGCCTTAGAGACTTGCCGTGAGCATATCTGGAAAGACCAGAAACACTTTGGGATGATGAGCACTGATGAATCAAGCAATAAATACGCACACCACTTATGAGTTGTAGTTCAATACTTTTTTCTTTTAATTCATACTGTACTTTCATGGCTCTAGCTACTTTACATTAAGATTTGGCTGGGTAGCCTTTTATGCTTCTAGGTGCTAGCAGTAAGTTTTCAGACCTTGCGCACAGCGCCAGGCAAAGTACAGTTACAGATCCAAACACAGACGGCCAGACAACTCGACTGCAGTCAACCTGTGTTCTTTCCAGTATATGGCCCAGTGCAGGTGTTGGGGGCTGCTCCCTCTGCCTCGCCCCACCCCGCCCGTGTCAGGATTATCCAGGGGCCACCTATGGCCTCTGACCCGTCCCTCCCCACCTTGGAGTCTAGGTTGAGTGGGAGGAAAAAGCACCATGGGTTTGGGAAGATGGTCCGGTCCATGCAGAGAGTGGTCTGGCCCTAGAGTGCAGGGAAGGGATACGTGGGGAGCCACACACTACTGTTGGCAGAAATGGTTGCTTTTACTACGCAATCTCAGCATGTGGCGCCCCAGCCCAGGGCCAGCTCCCCAGACAGAGCCAGCTGTCTTGCCTGGAGCAGAGGCTGCCATTTTGCTTCTGCAATGTCTTATTGTGTGGAGAGAAGCAAGGACGGCTGAGGGGCGGCGATGACAATGTTCTTTAAGCCTTCACATGTCGGGGAGGTCGCTGGGCGTCAGCTCCTCTTGGCAGGCAAGGTGCTTCGTGCCGGCAGCCAAGGCTCCAATCCGGGCTCCAGGGCCTGCTGAGGACCTCGAGTCACAAGACCCCTGAGCTGTCGCACAGAACATCAAAACAGGGAGCTGGCCGGGCCCACCATGGCCGTGGCCAGAGCAGGAGTGAGGTAACGAGGCTGGGCAGAGAGGCGGGAAGGGGAGCTCTCTACACCGTGTGCAAATTCCTGCTCCGCATTAGGAAAGCAGGGGCGTTAAAAGATGGCCTTCCAGAGAAATGTTCCTCTCGGACCCAAAACACATCTTCTGGAAGAAAACACAGAGGTGGAGGGGAGTGGGGCCAGCCTGCTAGAGGTTCTGGTCACAGATGTCAGGGGGTGAATGGGATGACGTCCCACAGCCTACAGACGGGTGGGGGAGGGAGGGTCAGGAAGAGAGGTCCTGGAGGCTCCTACTAGAGGAGGCAGGCAGGGCACCTGGGGTGCAGGGAGGGAGACCACAGCCCTGACATCTGGGGGAAGAGAGAAGAATGCTCTCTCTCTTGCGGGCCCTCGGAGGGAAGGGCTGGCTTTGGCTGCCCTGCAGAGCTTAAGAAGTGGCATGGTATGGCACAGAAAGGACCCTTCTGGAATCCTGACAGTCCAGAAAGATTCTTCCCCTAGTCTTTTCTCCAGGATCTCATCCTAGAGATGCTGCCTGCAGGTGTAGTAGGTACAGTCTGAGCACGGGTGGGGACAGGGACATGGAAAGAATCCACTTCTAACAAAGCATTCCACTTAGGCCTCTTGCCCCTAGCCTTTCCTGGTAATCCTAGATTCTCAGTGCTCTAAGACAACGCAAGGATTTCTGCTAAAGCCTCATACTTAAACCAAAGCCAAACAGGGTATGGGCTGAGCCAAAAGAGAAGTGCTAGAATCGGAAATGGCTTCTCTCCACTGCTTCCTCTATTGGTAATGAGGAAGTCTGGATAGACGGAAGGCTTCACAGCGTCTAAGGATGGAAGACGGGCTCTATCCAAAATAAGATGCTCTTTTCCTAGCTTAGAAAAGTCCAAGGGAAGGCCCCTTCCTGCACTAAGGACTAGGCCAAAGAAGGAAGAAACCCTACTAAGTTAATACTGAGCAATACATCAAACTTTATCTCTTTCTTTCTCTCTCTGCCACTGGGCCTCTCTACCCCTACTAGTCCCTGAAGAAGAAATTTTAACTACCCTGGGCTTCCTGGGAACCTAGACACTGCCCTACCATACCTCTCAATACCAGAGAAGCTCTAGCCCACAAAGACCTGTTCCCTCCTGGCAGGGCAACTCCCAATTCTGAGAAAGCACAGTCTTGCCAGGCTCAGGCCTAACCTCGGAGATGATGCCACCACAAGAACCTACCTGAACAATAATCTAGCCCGACCCCTTCCTGTTACAGGAAGGTACTGAAGCTCAGAGAGGGGAAGTGACTTGAGCAAGGCCACAGAGCGCATCAATGACAGAGTCAGGACTCAGGGCCAGGTCTCCTGACTCTCAGTCCAGGGTTCTTCCAAAGACAGCTTCAAGTTGCATCTTGCTGCCCTGAGACACTGTCCCCTTGTCCCAGGGAGGTGGATGAGAAACGGGGATAGTAGCAGATGTGACTGGCTTCCTGGAGGTCAATCCTGTCATTCGTTCTACAGGAAGCTGGAGGGGAAGTCTAGACTATTCTTCACCTGGTTAGAAACCATAGCTGTTCTTCACCTGGTTAGAAACTCTGCAAATTCTTTAATACTGAGTGCAAACTCTCAAATGTTTTACCACGTAAATCCTCACAGAAAGACTCCTGTGTGGCCTCAGAGTTCCCATGTAAATAAAAACAACAAGAGCACTGGGTAGAAAAAGTTGTCTAAGTGGTGGTTTGGACACTCTCTTGCAGGAGTTGCAATGCTATTTGTTTGTTTTCACACCCCGACCGCAAGAATGAGTTCCCTTTTCTTTCACAAGTTATTGACCAAGGAGAAAAAATTTTGTTTGGGAATGAATTATTGTTGGTTTTCTCCTGGCTTGAAAGTTAAATATATATATATATCTTAGAACAGAGAGAGCACATAAGAGATCCATGATCCTTAGGGGACATTGATATGTGCACACATGGTGCACCGGGTTCAAACCACCAGAGAACAGGAGGGTCCCCTGACATGCTAAGTGCCTCCCTCCCTGCCACCTACACCTCCCTTGAATGGTCCTGAGAGATAAAGCAGAGAATAGCTCTGTGGCCGGGTCTGCTTCACACTTCACTCCCAGCAAAGAACCCCTTTTCTACGTCATCCCGAAGGTCCCACCGTGGCACCTTTAATAATTAAATAACTTAAGTAAATAATTATGTATGGAATAAATTTGAGAATTTATCATTGTTGCATTCAACAGTTTCCAGGGGTTGTTTTGGCTTCCGGTTACGCGGAGGGGAAACTGTCAGCAATCTGAACCAGGCCTCCTTCTTTGGCTCAGGGCCCGCGAGCCTTGACCCTCACTTGAAGTCCTGGACAAGAACTTCACAGTGACCAAAAGGCCACACGCACCCTTGACAGGGATGAGATGTAACTCCGTCTCCTCATGTCTCCTTTTCTAGGGGAGGGACAGCAGTTCCAGCTGGTCACCTGGAGCCTCCTCTTCCTCCTCCTCGGAATGACCTGGACATGGACCGCTCTGCTTTCAGATCCGGCCCTTGGGGAAACACCAAGGCCTTATTCTCTCACTAAGAAGTCAAACACTTGTCTTTAATTGCCACAGGGGAATGGTTAGGCCATTCTAAGAGAAGAAAATAACTTTCTCTTTGGGGAAGAACAGTGATAAAAATCTTCCTTCCCTTGTGCTGATGCTCTGGAGTTCCTTCTGTCTCTCGCACTGAGAAGCCCAGGAGAAGAATAAGCAAGCTGGAAGAGCTCTCCTTGCCAAATTGGCTGTGAGTCTTTCCTGTTCAAGAATCTCTGTGAGCTCTGCCTGGGGCTAGTGTGACACTTTTTCTCGTTATATGGAGGAACAGAAATTGGTGTACGAAGGATGATGAATGTGCCCACAAGGACCCCAGGAATTCAGATCAATGCACAGGTCCCAGTGGGCCAACCCTGAAAAAGGTCCTGGATGCCTCACTCTTCTAATCCAGCATCGTCCACTCCTTAGTGATCTTATACCTCTTCTGGGGCCAGAGACCAGAGACCAGAGACCAGAGAAGGGTTTGCACCCCATCCCCCACCAGAACTCCCACTCCCAAGTCTGAGAAACTCAGGATTTGGAACGGGCCCCCTGGGGCAGAGATTTCACCAGGCCTTTTCCTGCTCAAACACATGCACCTTTGTCAATTCCTTCCCTCCAATGGCTTAGATATTTTCTCCATGTGCAAAGTATCTCAGACAATTGTCTCCATTGGCTAATGTTGGTTCTTTACCAAGAATAGATGGCTGGCAACCCAGTGAGTGCCTTGGCTATTGGTGCTCACTCACTTCTCACACAGCGTTCTCTGGGTAGACCCTGCAACCCAGACGTGGCTAGGGCATCCATTCTCTCTCTCTCTCAAACCCTGGAGGGCCTGGGACTCCCTGACTCACCCTGGAAATCAAACTGACAGCTCCAGGTGAAGGAATTAGAGCCACAGATCTGACTTGCTTATAACCACGAAGAGAGGTTTAACAAGGTCGAAAATGCGCCACCCTGGCTAATAAACGATGTGCTCTTAAGGCACAGAGAAACAATAGGACTTTAGGCACTAAAAAGTGACACTTCGCCCAGATCCAGCCTGGGAGAAGACCAGAGAGAAAGGAGGTGGGAAAATAAGAAATCCCCAGCCCTTATTGGGTCCACACCCTGCACGGGTCAGAGGACGGTGCAGGGGTGATTGAGAATACCCTTCAGATCATGAGTCCTCAGGAGCCTGCGGCCCCACAAATGCAGCCTTCCCAGCTTTCAAACCGTCCTCTCCACCTGACGCTTAGTGGATGGTCCATATCAAGCGGGTGGAGTTCAGATTGGGCTCCTGCCCTCGGTGCTTCCGTGTTCCCAAGAGAACGCCGGGGGAAGCGTGGGGTAGGGAAGAAAAGATTCTCTTTTATTTTGGAAACAAATCAAAAGGAGATCAGGGAATGAAGCACCTTAAGCAATGCCCCCTTGAGACTTCGTTTCAAGACCCTAGGGTCTTCGCAGGCATAGCTCTGGCTCAACGACATTTCCCTTCTGGGAGCCAGGAGTGGCCAGCACGGGAAGGGGTGGGGAGCAGAGGATGGGAGGAGGGTCAGGGGAGGTCGGTGCTGAGAGGTGGTCCCTGCCCTCCTCAGCCCCTCCACCGAAGGAAAGCACTGCTCCGGCCAGCACAGGGGGCGGGAGGTCCCGCTCCTTCTCCCTGGTACATAGGCATTATCTCTTTTTAAAATCTGTATATAATATATATTTATATTCTGTATATATATATTTATATATATATATTTATATGGTCTATGTACATGTATTGCACAGGCCTCTTGCAGCCACCCCTGCTCCTGCCTTGTCAATGATAGCGGTTCCTCTTCTCTTCGCTTTCGGACGTGTAGTCACGGGACCTGATGCCGTTCTGAAGGTTGATGAGTGAGTCCTTCATCTGTAAGACAGGGAACCCCACTCCAGGCCTGGGTCTGTGCCCTCGGCGGGCTTCTCCTCCCAGCAGCGCCCCCTAATCTGCCTGAGGCAGGTCCCCGACCACGCCACGGAGCTGAAGGGAGCTGGGCTCCCTCAAACAAAGGTGGTTCTCAGGGGCACAGTTTCAAGCAGAAAGGGGACAGCCAATCTAGCACGGGGACCCCCCCCACACACACACCCAGTCCGTAAGGCCCACTGGGTCTCAGAGATCTGAATCAAGAACTCGCTCAAAGCGTCCAAGTGTTACAAGGAGCCAATTAGACTGCCACTACTTGATCTACTAGTCATTTCATCTGATTCCCCCATTGATCCTTAATATACTCTATGCCCATCTTTGTACATCAAAGCCACACTGTTCCCCCCAGCCTGGGACTCTTTTTGCTCTTGCCTATTCCAATCTCACCCATCTGTGAAGGCCCAGAACAAATGCAAACCCTCTCTGCCTCCCAGGCATCCTTCTGGCCTCGCACATACCACACACGAGGGCTCTGCACGACAGTCCTCTTTAGTTACTTGGTTTCATGTTTGTTGAGACCACAGCTATGTCTTACCCTTCCCTTGTACACCCAGGGGTGCCAGGCAGAGAATTGGGGAGTCTCCTGGTTGGCACCCATATCAGTGAATTAACACCTTTGGGTCAGGGGATGGAGTCTAAACGGAGCAGTTCCAGCAGAAGAATCCTAAAATAGCCCATTGTAACACAACATTTTTAAATATTGTCTCAGAGTAAGCTGCTCTGTTACAACACAAGACAACATCTCCTGGGTAAATGGATTTGGGGACCCTGTGGTCTCTCTCTGCTTAATCCACTATTTTCTTCTCTCTGGTTCTTCTACATCCTCTGCTCAAGAGGGATGAGGGGCCCCATTACTGTTCTTTTAAAAGTTACTCTTATAGGGAATGAAACAAAACATCTCTCTTGACACTGGTAGGGTAGAGTCCACCGGGCTGTAAATCCAACAGCCCTAAGCCCCACTTTAAAGGGGGTCCACCCTGAAACAGAATTCACACTTGGAAGAGACCTGTGGGTCATGCAGTCCAACTGCCCTCTGTTTAATCCGTAAGTTCCTAACCCATCACCACCCCAGTCATCCCTCGAACACTTCCAATGTTGGAATCTCAGTCCTCCACAGTAGCCCATTCCATTGCTGGAGACCTCTAACCCTAAGCAGCAGTCTGTTTTTATTTGATGACTCAAAAATGTCAATTCCTTCTAGCCCTGGTTCAGTGCTCTGGAGTTCACAGTAAGTCCAACCCTTCTTCACCTGTTGGTCTGAATGTCTAAAGACCACCTTGTTCTCCTCACCCCAGTGTTCCCTTCTCTTGGGCATGTGGATAATTCTGTCACTCTTCCTTGACGAGACAGGGCTTCCAAATCTCTGACTAGGCTGCCAACCACTTTTTGGTTTAAAAAAAAAAAAAAAATCCCTCCTTAAACAAAGCCAAACATGATACTCTAAACACACCAGACTGGATCCTGATAGCAGCAGTTAAGATTCTCTTTCCTCACTTTAGAGCTAAGACCAAGCTATGAACAGGAAATAATGTTTAATAATAACGAGTACCTCCCATGTGCATGGAATCTTGACAGCAGTTCCAAGAAGCCACGGTGACAATTCCTATTTTATAAATGAAGAAACTAAAGCTCACTAGTATTAAGTCTCTTGCTCAAGGTCACAAAACTAGTTAGTGGAAGGCTGAGATTCCATCTTGGGTTTTGCTGACCACGAAACATCAGAAAAGACCTCTTTTTAGGAACAGAGATTTTACTGCGGCAGGACAGATCCTAGGCCTAGTAATCTTCCTAATTCTCTCGAATTGCAAAGGTCGATTCCTGCTCTCTTGACAACCACATGGGGACATTTTTTATAAGGTACTAAATTTTTCTGGGGAAAAGAGGAAGCTCCCTCCCCCAAGGAAACTAAGTTAATCATTGATTTTGCCCCAGGATGATTTTCTTAAATAGCTGGCTCAAGCTTTGGGGAGGAATACAGACAATTGCACAACAGAAATGATATTATGAAATGAAGACATAGCACAGCCTTCTTCCCAGACCCTCAGAGCAGTGTCTTTGAGAACAGCAGCTACTGGCGGCTGTGTGTCTTGGATGGTAGGGGGAGGGGTGGTATACATGGAAGGGAATTTGAAAGACAAGCCCTTTGGGAAGACAAATTTCTGTAAAAGAGGGGTAGTTCTCCCTTTAAACTCCTGTCACAAACTACCCAAAAAATAAATCAATAAAAATATTTCTCCTTCCATCTAACCTACATCTTTCCTGCTGCGAATCCAGTATGGTGTCATTATTATTATGAATGCACCTGTGTTTCAAACAGCCCGTTCAAGAATGACTTTACAAGTAGAACAATAGATGGCCCGAGAGCACAATGAATGGGAGGAAGAAGTCAGAGTCTAGAAGGTGGGGAGAGAGGTGGTCGTCTTTCTCAGGGAATAAGGGGAAAGAGTTCTGTCTCCCGAAGACTGGGGCAAGCGGGGCGGTGGGGGGATGGGCATCTCACCTGGTCAAGGAGCATCACTGAGGATTTGATGATCTCCCTCCATTTTTGGAGCTCAGTATCGTGGTACTTTTGTTGGGACTCTAAAAGCTGGGCCCATTCTGTTTGAGACTGGGGTAACCTGTGGGGTAGAAGAAGGGGCACCCCGGCAGCCGGAGTTATGCTCAGCGAACTGTCCTGTGCTCCCAGACCCCTAAAGGACAGAGAGTCACATCAGAGTGCTTTGTCCTCTGCACACTGCCCCTGGTTCCCCTGTGCCCTGGATCAGAAGCGGACTGGAACTACAGGGACAGATTGCAAGGGCTTCCTACGGGCTCGTCTCAGAGGGTCATCTCCTGGGCAAGGGCAGTGTGACAGTCCCGAGGAGAGGGGAAGGCAGGTGCCAGGGCAAGGCATCGGGTGGGGCAGAGGTGCTGGCAACGGGACAAGGCCAGGATTACCTTTCTTGGAGCCTGAGACCCTGCCAGGCAGTGAGGGTCTGCGTGGTGTATTCCAACATCCAGAGTTTGTAGAAGAGCATCATGTTAAGGATGACCAGCAGCACCAGACTAGGAAGGAGACATGGGGGGGAAAAAACAACAGCAATGAGGTGTCATCTGAGCCAGGGACACTGTTATCCCAGAGGCTGCTGTCCCTGACTGGTGGGTCTTCCAAAGCCCCGCAGTGAGTGAGCAAGTAAGCCAGAGGGAGGCAGCGAGAGAGAGAAGCAGCCTAATGTGGAGGGGCCAGCACACAGCAGGAGAGCCAGGGACATGGGTGCGGGGCAAAGCCATGGGAGGGGGAAACACATGGGCACCCGGAACCCGGGTCCCTCGGGGGAGAGAGGTAAGGAAGAGAGGGAAAGAGATGAGGGGGGAAGGAGTAATCATAGAGCCAGTACCTGAAACAGATCCTAGTGGGAGCGGGGGAGAAAAACAGGGAGGAGGCAGAGGTTAGAAACAGACCAGTGTGGGGAAGGGGAAACTGCACTTACATCAGCCAGAGCGCGAATGAGAGAGTATGAGAAAGAAATGTGAGGGGCAAGGACACGGTGGATCGGGAAACCCATCCAGGAAGGAGTGAGAGAAGCAGGTGCAGACAGATTTGGGGTTTCATGGATGCTAAATTGAAAAATGCTCCCCCACCAACCCAACATCAGGAGGGGACGGCAGGGTGAGCGTGAGGGAGTCCCAGTGGGAGCCAGCTCTGCCCTGGGTGTGCCATACAGAGGCCAGCAGAACCTCCCCAAGGGCAGTAAGGCTCCTGCCTGGACCTGCCACCACCCGGCAGAGGTCATGGGGACCGATGAGGTCTCCCAGAGTCTGGGTCAGAAGGGGTCAGGGACAGGGAGGAAGTGAGGACAATCCAGGGCTGGAGGACCCAGAGACTGTGGGAACCCTCCTCTTCTCTCGGCCTCCCTGGCTGCGTAAAGATGATTTTGTGAAAGAATCTCACGGAATAGAGGGTGCAGACATAGGTAAAGAGGGGACCCAGAGGCCACAGAACTGGGCACAAATACTGGTTCACCACTTGAAAATGTCTTAGCTCTTGGTCAAGTCACCTAGCTTCTTTGGCCCAGTTTTCTCGACAGGGACAATACCCGCCCTACCACGGCTGTCATGTGGATGAAAGGGAACGTGTGTCCATACACACAGCAGCCCCCCCGCACCCCGTGGTTCTTATCATTCAGGGGGGAGACACAGACACACACAGAAAGATAGAAGATGACAAAAACTGGTAGATAAAACAGAGACAGGGAAAAGAAAGAGACCAGACAAGGAAGAAAAGCTCATCTGATGCCTTAGAGCAGGGGTCCTCAAACTTTTTAAACAGGGTGCCAGTTTACTGTCCCTCAGACTGTTGGAGAGTGCGCACCGTGGGCCCAGGACGAGTCGGCTGCTAAGCAGGACAGGCAGCGGCGGCAAAAACACTCAGCGGGCCGGATAAACGTCCCAGGCGGGCAGCATGTGGCCCGCAGGCCGCAGTTTGAGGACACCTGCCTTAGAGTTTTCCAAGTGTGTGTGAGTGATGCTGTATTTCCTAGTTGTGCCTCTGGCACTGTGGAAGGTAATCTTCCCTAAATTGGCAGCTGCAAATCCCTGGGGCTACTCTGCTGCGTTCTTGGGGTTCTCTGGGTTCTTCAGGAGACCTTTTAAACCTTGTGTTGCAATTCCATGATGCCGTCTGTAACTGTATCAGCACACGCTGGGTCCCACGAACACCCACCTCTTCAGAGCGCGCTGCGCACAATCTCAACGGCTGTACTTGGGTTTACGTTTGCAGTCCTGTCTGTGCTAAGTGAAGGTCAAGGGACACCCCCGTGTGCTGTCTGAGTGAAGGCTCCACGGCGTTCTACACAGAGGAAAGAGGCAGGAGGCCGAGTCACCTGCTGGCAAGACTGTGGAGGCAAGAGCCCGCCAGACACGGGGCAAACGGTGCGGTGCCAGCCCATCCCACACTCGGGCTGTCGGCAGCCCCTCGCCTGGAGCGAGTCGTGTGGAATTAGAAGACCTGATGACCCTAAACTCACAAAGCCCCAGAGTTAGTTAATGCAATGCCACCCAACATACTCGGGGAGCAGCAGGAGCTCTGAAGGTCAGTATGCAGGAAGAGCTTAAATGCGGAACTAGCCTGAGGTTATGGTTTTCTATTTACCAAAATCCAATACCAGAGATTTAATTTTAACAGACAATGGCATGAGTCAGATGAAATCGATGCTGCTAGATGTGAACCCGACTGGCTTTACAGTTGCCTTTGTATTTAATTTTGTAATGTCCTGGCTCCATATGCTCTAGTCGGAATAATTTTGCATCTACTTACTTGGATAATGTTATATATTCAAGTAAGGTTAGTAAAAGAGTCCTACTTATGTCTCCCACAGACTCCTCTCCTGTAAGTGGCCCCCAGGGTCACACTATATTCTACATAGATGGTCACATTCACGCGGTGGCATCAATGCCATGGATGATTAATCTGTGGCTGCAGCCGACACTTGCCTCCCAAGCTCCAGGTCCACATCAGCAAATACTGCCATCTCATCTGGATAACGTACGGCAACTCGGACACGCCTGGAACACTATCAAGTGTCTTCCCTGACAATCTTTCACTAAATTCCAGATTTCTGTTGATGACATAACCATTTGTGGTCCCCGGAATCAGCAGTTCATCTCCCTTCGCTGCATAACCTGGTGGGTAACGAGTCTTCCCCCTGCGGGATCTCTCAGCCCCGTCCCTCATCTCAGGCTGACGGGAGTCTCACCTAGATGGCCGCGGTGCGCTCCACTGACCTCCCTGCCTCCAGCCTTTGCTACGAGTCCATTTGCCATACATATTGCTGTCAGAGTGATTTTTCTTTCAATGCGAATCTGACTATCACTCCTGGGCTTCCTAGAGAGTTTCCCGAGGGCGAGGCTGTGCCCTGCTGCTGCCTCCGTGAGAAGGCTCCAGCAAGGGCCAGGGCGTGCCACAGAAGCAAGACTGAACTGGGGCCATCAGGTGTCTGGTGCACAGCACGGAGAGCCCCACGCACTCTCAAAGCACACCCCCATCCAAGGAAGGCATGGGATGCCAGGCAGGGGGCTGAACCATGCAGAAGAACTGCCCCAGTTGCTTCCTGTCCAAAAAGTTCAGAAAAGTCATGGCCAAGTGATAGCATGGACTCGCACTTCCAATAGCTGGTCCAGTTCTCCCATCTTACATCTTCATTTCTTTCGCCCTCCTTTCTCCCTGGCCCAGCATCCCTCTGTGCAAGTTACTGAGCCTACTGTTTTATAATGTCATAGCAATTATTATAAACAGTCTACATTAAAATAAGCACCTACTTTCCTAGGCTGAAGTCATTGCTATTGTCTGGCTACCCTGCCAACGTGTGGGCTCCTCGAGTGCACGGTTCTAGGGCCTGGAACCGAGCAGACGCCCAGAGCATCTCTTGCGAATGAACAAGTAGACTCCTAAGATGCTCTGTGGCCTTCCTACGCTAGCATGTATCCAGCTGTGGAGGGATTCTGAATGTCCCATCTCTTTCATGCACTGGACACTGAGTCCCTGAAGGGCAGGGGTGCTGCATGCAGCATTTGCTTCTGAAGGCCCAGCACACAGTAAATGCCAAGCAAAACAGAGAAAAAGATGTAAGAGGTAAGAAATGACAGACAGAGCAACCAATCCCAACAGACAAGACTAGAGGACAAAGAAAAACAACAATAACAACAACAAGGAAAACAATAAGGGCTTCAATGCTTCAAGAAGCAAAGGATGGATGAGACACCAGGCGGGAACAGGCGGGGGGAGGAGAGCCTGGAGTCCCTTACACACAGCTGATAACCAGCAGCAGCTTGGACACGCTCTGCAGGTGGAAACCGTTGGGGGTGTCCTCGGGGATGTGCCGTGTCTGCGTGGAACCTGTGGGAAAACAAAGAGGCCGTCACCATGGTGACCCACGACTTCTGAGGTGACGCTGGTCAAGCAGTGAATGCCAGGGGATGTTGGAGAACTGTCCACAATGTTGTCACAGCAACGATATGACGAGATATGCCCGGCCTTCCAACAGGAGAAGGCAAGCTCCTCAAGGGCAAGGTCGCCATGGTTTGGGTCAGGCAAACACAGAACGAACGAGAAAATCAACAGACCTATGTAGCCGGCACACACAGAGGCAGGGCAAAGTGAGAAACGGCCCTGGGCTAGGACCAGAGACAGCCAGCTTCCAGCTATGGTTTTATTCCTAATCAGCTACATGGTGCTGGACAAGTCACGTGAGCTCTCTGAGAGTCAGTTTACACACGTGCAACGTCAGTCAGAAATCTTATGTGCACAACACACAACGCAGGAGTGCTCGGGGTGAAGCTGGGGACAGGGACATGGGCGGCTGGCACTCTCTCCTCCTCCAGCTCTGATGAACCCACAGGTATGTGCAAAGCACAGCCAGAAAAAACTCTGGATTAGTTGGTCTCTAAGTCCCCATATAGTCCAAGGTTCCCATAGTTGAGCAAACATATGTGGCTTTGTTGAATGGGTGGCTGGGAAGAGGAAGAGATATCAAGGGAATCCACAGCCTGGAGGGGCAGGCCCTTCGTGGGCCATGGGGTTATGTGACAGGGCTGCCTTGGACTCCCTGATCCTTGTGTTATGAGGTCATCTCTGGGGTCTGGGCTTTGGGTTCTCCTTAGTGTATTTCCCAAGAACTTGAAAGCTGCACATTTGAGCCTATGCAGGTAGCCATGGAGCTTGGGCAGTACAGAGGCATAACCATAAAAGACACCTTCGGCTAATCAGAGCACACATATGGGTTCAGCAGGGGCCGAGGAACTTAAAGGGCAAAGAGAAATGCACAGGGCAATGGGAGTCTCAGACTTAGTGAGTTATGTTCACATTACATAGAAATTATACCCACGGTACAAAATGAGCTCCTGCCCAAAGCCCCACTGGGCACACACCTGCCACATGCTTGATCCTGTGGCCCACATCTTCATCAGTGGGCGTGGTGACAGGGCTCATCACCTCTTCCAGGTGAGGGACCCGCAGGTGGGCGTGGGGACGCTTCCTCCTCCGTACTGTCGGGGGCTTGCTGGCCTTCTCTTTGGGAGACTGTCTGTGCATCTCAGCCAGGTAGGTGCTCTCCGTTTTGGCCAGCTCGCTCTCTGCCAGAGACAAAAGGACCACGTCAGAGGCCACCTGCGACCCAACACAGTGGCCTCCAGAAGCAAGTCTCTGGGGGAAACATCTTCGCACACTGCACTCTGGGAAGTGGGCTGGACAGCCAGATGACCCTCGGGGATGACCATGGGCCTCAGAAAGTACTCCTGGGACCCAGCCCCACGCAAGTCCCCTCTGGGGCTGTCCAACACTGTGTGGAGCCATGTGTTCTGAGCACATGCACCCTCTGTGTATGGTCTGGGGCTCATCACACGCTTGCTCAATGGGTGCACTCACAGGCGGTTTGCAGATCCTTCTCATAACAGAGAATACCAGTATCCCTACCTCTGTGGCTCATTTGCAGCATGGGCTATTAAAGACCCCTTAATGATAAAAGTTATAGACACAGTCTCTTGAAAAATGCACATGTCCCCATACATGCAAAATTTGGTATCTATTTCTGGGGCAGAATTAGGGACCCTGTGAAGTCACTGTCAGTCGCTGCCCCCACTCTCCATGTTTCCCTTCCCCCCCCTCGCGCGCTGGGCGACAGCTGTCTGTTCACCCGTCTCTGCAGCTCGGCTAGCAGCGATGGTGGCGCCCACCTAGATGGCGGAAGTAGTCCTCCAGCCCGCTCCAGAAGTTCTTCTCGATGAAGGTTTTCACTAACCCCCAGGGCTGTTTACGATAGCGTAGCTCTGTGGAGACCCTGAGGAACGAGCCAGAAAAGAGATCGGTCATTGCCTGGGTGGACAGTCTTCTGTGGGGGAAAGGGGAATTCGGACTTAGGGCCAAAGCGGCTTCGCGGGTGTGCTGCACTTTACCAGTTAACAGGTCCTTTCCTGCACATCACCTGACCTCCCTGACCACCTCTGAGGTCAGTGGAGCTAGTGGATTTATCTTCATTTTACAGAGGAGAAAACTGAGGTTCAGGGTACTTAAGCAGTCCAGAGGCTAACCACCAGGGCTGCCGACCCCAAGCCCAGAGCTCCTTCCTGAGGCCACACTGCCTCCTCCCAGGGGACTCCCCAGGGGGCCGGGCGGCCTGACAGCCCGCCAAAGGGAGGCTCGGCCTGGAGTTTGATCTTTTTGAGCGACACACACTGAAACAAAGTCAAGAGGGGCCACTCTTTTGTCAGGGTCCTTCTTTCCTTCTCCAGAGACTTTCAAGTCCGAGTCAAGCTCTGGGGTTCCATCACTTTCACCTTTAAGAGGATCACCCGCTGCTCCCTGGCTGCTGCCTCTCAGCGCAGCCCAGAGAGCTCCAGCGCTCGCGCTCCCCAGCGCTGGCCACGCCGCTGCCCACGCCTCCCGCACAGCGGCCCTGCTCCGCGCCTCCTCCTTAGGCCCGCCTGCATCTGTCCACAGGTTCTCTAAGCTCATCCCTCCACCCTGCAGTCCAGCCTGCTGGTCCAGCCTCCCCCTCCTTGGGGATGCTGTCTCCACCCATGGCTTGACTGCAGGATGCCTGGACTTGGAGCCCTCGCTCCCCCTCCCAACGCCGGTTCCCTGCATCAAGGCTGGGCAGCTCCTTGCAAAGGTCTATCCAAGGTCAACCAGCTGCCTCTGCGTAGAGTGCACAGAAAAGACACACAGCTGGAAGATCCTGAGGAACCTGGAGTGGAGAAACCTAGGCACCGTGGAGGGAAGGAAAAGAGGAACGGGAGGGAGAAGGGAGGCAAATAAAAGGCGGAGGGAGGAAGAAAAGGGAGTTGGAGCAACAGGTGCACGCTCAGAGAGTGGCAGAGACTCCACCTCCTTGAAAAAATTGAGAAGAGGATGAGGAAGTCACAGGTGCTTCTTGATTCCTGAGATCTCTGTGCAACCTATTACTAAAACCTGATTTTATATGAACTATGTGAGTGAATTTCTGCTCCTTACAACCAAAAGAACTTGGTCTAAGATACAGGTATAAAACTCTGATGCTTTCCAAATGGGCATGTGTCCTGACTTTTCAGTTAGACCACAAGCTTCTTAACACGCCAGAGTCTAAATTTGTCCCTTCCTTTGAAAGCACATTACGGTGCCCAAAACTATTTGCTCAGTCAACATTTCAGCGCCTGTGCTGGGTGCTGGTAATAACGTGGCGAACGGACTGGGATTCCTGCCCTCAGGGAACTCACTGTCCAACGGGGAGGCCAACAGCAATGCACGTGGGTGGCACAAACGTGGCAAGAGGGAAAGAGCACAGGTTTGCACGTCTCAGAGCTGGGTTTCAGCACTGACTAGGGACAGGACTCTGGGCAAAGTTACTGAACTTATATAAAACTCATTTTCTGATAAATCCACCTCCTTGCATTGTTCTGAAGACCCCAGTGAACGTAGGAAAAGCGCCTATACGGTACTTTATAGGCCACGGACAAACAATAAATAGCAGTAGTTGTAAAAGTTTTACTAAACAGATGAGCACAGTGGTGAAGGGAACACGTGGCAGAGAGAATAATTAACTCCCTCACAACGGGGACGGCAGGGAGTCCCCGAAGGCTTCAGAGAGAAGTTGGAATGAGGAGAGCCAGCAGCAAATATGCCCGACCTCCTCCTTCCCATCGGAGCACATGACTGCTTTCTAACGGACAGACCCCACCGGAACCCCCGGGCCCTCCGCACCCCGCACCTGAGCCGGCTCTTGTTCCGAGCCACGCGGGTGAGCGTGTAGCGATTGATGGTGTAGAAGTAGTCGTGGTAGGGCACGTCGTGGGTGAGGACCTCGGCGTCGATCACGTAGCATTCGCTCTCCTGGCTCGCCTTGTACATGGTCTGTGGGGAGGAGAGTCCGTTGCACAAAACTGAGAGGGGCAAGAAGTTCAGAAAAGCTCCTTTTCCAAGCTGCCCCACCCTGCCCCACCCCACGACGGCTGAACGGAAGACCCAGAGCCACAGGCAGCGTGGAGCAAGGATGCACGGGGTTACACGACACTTGCACCCACAGACTCCTTCCGGACATCGGTCCTCTGTCTTTCGAGATGAAGTGGGGAGTGTTCGGGCCTGCTCTTGTTGGCCCCCCCCGCCACCCACGTCTCTGCTCACCTGTGTTTCCCTGACGGTGGCGGTTTTGGGAGCCAGCGGGTTGGTGAGGGTGACGGTGTAAAGGATCACTCGGCTCTGGTTTCCATTCTCTTCCTTCTTCCAGGGGTGGAAGATGATATCTGAGGGTGGACGAGAGCTCTGGGATGAGGGAGGGGACCCCGCACAGCCCCCTCCCCACATCTCCATTTCCCCTGCAAGTGACCTTCCCCTGATTGTGCTGCCTCCCCACTGGCCCCCAAAAGGAAGCCAATGGGAGCCTGAGAGCGGGTTGGGGGAGGGCGGGAGGGGGGCGGTGAGAGCAGAAAGAGGCTCATTGTAGCGTTGCCGAAATTCTGCACAAGGCTCCAGAAAGCTGATTGTTCCTGGGGCTGGGACAGGAGGTCTCGGGGCCACCTACGGGGTGCTGGCAACACTGGCGTCACTGTGGCGAGGGCCTAGGGTCCCTTGGGAACAAGTCCTCTCCTCTAACACATGACCTCCCCATGCCCTCAGCATGTCCTCTCCTCCTGGCACTCGGGGCTGCTGGTGCCCAACTGCTCTGCCACCCAGTGGGATGCTTAGCAGCTCTGCTGGGCCAGAGCCGGGTCCCTGCGGTGGGGAGAGCAGGGGCGAGGGCAGGGTCCATGCAGGAAGCCCCGAGGCCTAGAGGCGAAGCCCACCCAGCCCCTTCTCAGCTGCACCATGAGGGGCAGCACCCGCAGTCTCAGTTTCAGCGACCTCAGTGTGGGGGTCGCAACGCCACACACAGGGCAGTTGCGGGGACCGAGCGAGATAACACAGCATGCGTGGCGTAGCATAGGCGCCCCCCGCCCTCGGGGGCTTTGTCCTTCACGAGGCGGTGACGCTGGGCGGGCAGAGACCAGGCAGGGCTCATGCTCTGGAAGTATCAGGGGTCAGCACTGAGTGTCTGACGCGCAGCAAGTGAGTGTGGGGCGAGCGCAGGGCGAGTGCAGGGCCACGTGCCATGCCGGGAGGAGAAGGCAACAGAGTGGGGGAGCTCAGTACCCCTGGAGGCCAGAAAGAGGGTGTCTGGGCCACCAGGTGGCCAGAGGAGGGCGGGGAAGGGAGCAAACGTAGAGCGGGAAGTAGCGTGGACAGAGAGGGAGGGCTGGGGGCGGGGCCCGCTGCAGAACACACCAGAGAAGCGCCTCTGCTCCATGAAGTCCCGCTGGAAGGGCGAGTTGGTGAAAAGGAGGTCGTAGAGCTTGTCCACGCTGAAGTTGAAGACTTCATTCACGTACTGCCGACCGCTCAGGTCCTCATAGAAGGCCTGGACTTCCCCTGCACAAAAGACAGCACCAGGAAGTTGACAGTGACGGCCGAGGGGCAGGGGACCCCAGGGACATCTTAGCGGAGCAATTATGTCCCCGGCTAATGTCCCACAGCCACCACAGAGGCCACAGAGCCAGGAAGCTGGGCTCATGGGCTACGCAGTTTACGGATTTGCCTCGGTTTCTTTCCTTCTCTGGGACACACACTGTCTAGTGGACACTGTCCATTCACCCTTTCCAAAGGGCTCGGGAATGTACTTTTGCTTTTACACTTTCAAACCTCCCTAATTCAGACTAAAATTCCAATAAATGACTACTTCCTGAGGTTGCCTGAACCCAAAGAATGGGTTACTGAGAGTCTGTATGTTAACTACAAGTGACAACAAATGGCATCGTAACCCCTGGCACGGGTGCGTTCACAGATGCAGATTAATCAGGAACCCTCTATAGAAAGCTGCTAAATGCAGGGGCTCACCTGATAGGCTGTGATCCCCAGCTAGCCACGTCTGCTTTCCTTCCTCACAAGGCATCTATTTCTGCCATGATTCCCCCTTTTAAACTTATGACTGCAGCTTTAGCATATGGCAAAAGAGGAATACGAATCAGAATGAGCCGAAGGGAGGGGCACACAGCAAGGTCTCGGAAGGTTCCAGAAGTGGAGCTTCCTTCATCCTCAGGGATGCAGTACCCTCTGGGGAAACGGATGTGCATCAATATGCAGAATACTGCCAACCAGGGGATTTCCTGAATTTTCTAGCTGCTACGGGAGAATGCATCTGAGGGTACAGGAGAGTTGCTAAAGCCCTAGCCCTCCCCACAAACCCCACAGTCCCTCATTATGCATCTGCATGGGCGGGTCTGTGATCTTAAGTAGGAGGCTGAGATCTCTGAACCCCAGGCAGACTCAGGGGAGAACTGAGGAATATCCTACAGGGACAGTGCCCAAGCGCAGTCTGGGTGCTATTCCCATCTCAGTTTACGTGAATGGCACCCCCAGTATTAGGTGGTACCCAATCTGTGCAGCAAAACTATCAACCAATTTTATGAATGCTGAGGACTGAGCTTTTCTCCATGGAATGCAAGAAGAAGCACGTTCCCAAGGGAGCTCCCAGGAGCTAACCCTATGCAGGAGTGAAGCAAGAAGCTACCTGCTTAGAATAATTAAGAGAGAAGACAAAGTCTCCAAAATCTATCTGACCCAGCAACGCTTTTTCTCATAGCCTAGCCTAAACACCCTACGCTGGAGTCACTAACAAATTTTGCAGATTTCCTGAGGAAGTTTCACATCTATTAAAAATTTAATTTCCCAGGAGCAGCTGACTGGCGCCTTCCTCAGGGCATGTAAACACTCCTTGCCTGTCTATGAGGGACAGAGTCAATGGGGGCAGGGGGTACATTTAGTGACAACACTGGATGGCAGAACAAAGCATTATCTGTCAAGCAAAGAAAGACAAACACAGAATGATGAGAGTGAGTACCTGAAAAAAGGGATGTGCGATAATAACAAATGTACCTTTTCAACAAAGGCTCTGTCACCCTCCCTGCCACCAGGAACCTAGAGACTGACTCCAGTTCCCACGTGGAGGCCTCCTTTTAGCCCTCGCGATGGAGAGGGCAAGGGCTGCCTCAGACCCATCTTCATGTGCCCACCTTCGTCGTGGGTGTCAGAGGAGTCGCTGAGCTCCGTGGGGATGTCCTCGTTGTCGTTGAAGTCCAGGGAAGGGGAGTTCACGGGAGCGATGATCTCGATCTTCTCTCCTATGATGTTGTCGATGGCAAGCTCCTTCTCCAGGGACCCGTCTCCCTCCAGCACCTCCTCCTCCAGGGGCAGCCCGTCGAACTGCAGCCGAGACAGGGGAGTCACCCACCGGGGCAATCTGCTCTGGATCTACTCTCCAAAGGGAGGTCAGGGACCCCGTCTTGGCAGCCCTCCCGGTCCCAGCACGGCTGGGCTGGAGTCACATTCTGGGGTCCTTCCCGCTCTGCCGTGGAAGAGGAGCGAACACACACGGGGCGGGGGGGCTGCTGCCCTGACTGCACCTGTCATCCCCCCAACAAAACAAACCCCGCAGAAAAAAAAGTCCCCCCGGCAAGGCCAAGGCCCCCCCCCGAACCAAAACCCCAACGGGCCAAAAACAAGCCAACCCGCCCCAAGGAAGAAGCCTTTCCACCAAAAAACCCAAAAGGCCTCAAAAACAATTTTTGAACCAATTTCCCAATAACCCTGGAAAGGAAACAATACAATCCTTTACATTTGAAAGAAAACCTCGGGGACAGAAGATGAAGACTAGGCATCAGTTCATTCTAAGACCAGGTGTTCTGACGTCTAAACCGCTGGAAAACAAGGCTCCTTTTTGGGGAAATCCTATTTGGGGTTCCTTTCCTCAGGAACCCATCCATTCTGCCTGCCAGCACAAGCCCTAACCCTCTCCTTTGTCAAGGTTCTATCCCCTCTCTAACCAAGTCCCAGAGGACCGAGGCCTCTTGCACATTTGTACAGCTTCCACAAAGTCTAGCACAGCTGGAAAACAAACCACAGTGCGTGTACTAGGAACTCTAAATATTAATCAAATGAGTTAATAAAACAATCACAGTCCTACAGTTCTATATCCATGCATGACTCTGATGTCAGATCAAGGCAGTGAAAAAAGACCTGCGATAGTTCTGCACCAGGGGGGCTGATCTGGGGCAGCCCTCCAAGAGCAAAGCTCACACAATGGACTGGGGAAATGGTTTTCATCAGAGTCAAACCCAACCTGGTACCCCAGGCATCTAGAACCCAGCGCCGGACCCTGGAACTACACCACCAGAATACAGAGAACCCATCTGCTCCAGGATGTCTCCTTGAATAAACTGACCACAATGTAACCAACCTCCCCCCACCACCTGCCCCAGGGTGGGTTCTTGGGGCATTAACTAAGCTAGGAAACCCTGGCCACAGGAACGAGGGGGGAAGCAGAGGGCTGACTGCCCATACCGAGACGGGGGCTTCGCTGCTCCCCGTGGATGTCAGTGTGCTGTTGGTGATGGATTTCTTGGGCAGCTGTGGACTGGCATCCGGCTTGGTCTCTATGCTGCTCTTGGATGAGCTGTCATTCACTTCGTTCTCTTCAACAGGGATCTCCTCGCAGTAGCTGAGAGAAGAGGCCAGCGAGCCCGTGTTAACCTCAGTGGTCAAGATGGACAAGGATTCTAAGAAGCTCAGGCCTCAGACCTGTCTATCCATCCCAGACGATGGGATTTCTTGCTTCTTGGCATTGTGTATGATATTCCTCTCAACAAGATCAACCTCCCCCCTCCCAATCTACTCCTGAAACCTCCTTGCCATCTCACCCAACCCGTCCCTGTGCCCCATGTAAAGTTTCTGGCTCCAAACTCACCTTTTCTAGGCAAACTCCTTAGATTTATGCCTACCTATTAATAAATATGACCACTGTTATTCATCTTAAGCTATTTTTTTCCCCATTGGTGCCCATCCCATCCAGACCCTCTGAATCAAAGATCTGGGTTCTGAGCATACATTTCATTTCCCAAACAGTGACTAAGACCGGACTCTGGACACAGTGCTCCCCCAGTGCTATTGCCCACATTCTAGATCAAAACTAGTAAACTGCCCCACATTGAACACCTGAGAGGGAAAGCTCCTTGAGATGAAGGTGGGCATCCTTCTAGGCACACTTCAGGGATGCCGCTGCAGCCCTCCCCAAGGGAGCAATCATCATCTTTTTTATCATGATCATCAACATCTGACTTACACTCTACGTATCTTCCACATGTGTGACAACTCTTGGCAAATCACTACAGGCATTTTAGAGATAATCAGATGGGTATGCACAGAGGTGAAGTGATGTCACTGTTCGTACCCGAGCCCAGGTCTAAGTACCACTGCATACTCAACGCCCTCACTTTCTATTCCTCTGTGCCTCTCGCACTGCCAAGCCTGCACCTTCCTCTCCAACCTCAAGCACGCTTTGCGCCAGGCTACTTGAAGTCCCCATCTTCCTTACCCCATCAACGGCACGTGACACAGTGACTCTCCCTTCTCCTTCACTTCCTCCCCTTGGCTTCCAGGATATGCGGCTATCCCAAGCATGCCTCCTCCCTCGCTGAATGTTCTTCCAAGATCTCCCTGGCTGCTTCTTCTCTTGTTGAGCTCTCCCAGGCCCAGTCCTTGAACTTCTTTTTATGTCCACTCCATCACTTAGAGATTCCAGCCTAACTCATGCTATCCACTAATAATTCCCGAGTTTATGGCCCTAGCCCAGGCTTCCCTGAGAACTCCACACTCATACCTGAATGCCTCCTTGACATCTCCCCTTGGCTAACTGGTATCTCAATCTCAACTTCCCTAAAATCACCTTCCCAATCTTCCCCTCAAGCCTGCTCTGCCTACACTATTGTCTACCTTCATGTAGAACAACTCCGTTCTTCCAGATGGTAAAACCAAAAATACCTTGAAGCAACTTTGGTCCCTTTTGGTTCCATCAGCAAATCTTTCCAACCATATTCAGGAACTACTTACTGCCATTTCTATTGCTACCCTCCTGGTCCAAACTACCACCATCTCTTATCTGAATTACCTAAATAATTCAATAGCCTCTTATAACAGGTCTCCCGACTCCTGCCATCACTCCCTTCAGTGTATTTTCAATGCAGAGGCCAGAGAGATCCTGCTAAAATGGTAAGTTAGACCTTATCAATCATCCACTCAAAACCTTCCCATCCCACTCTGAGTAAAAGCCAATCATCGCATTGGCCAAAAGGCTCTCAGACTCTGCCCGCTCTGCCTCCCTGACCTCATCTCCACCATCCCCCTCGCTCGCTCTGCAGCCACACCGGCCTGCTCACTGCCCTCCTGCCTGGAATGTTCTTCCTGCAGGTACTCCCCTGGCTCATTCCCTCACTTGCTCCAGGGCCTCACTTAGATGCCATTTTCCCAGCAAGGACGTCACTGCCATCCTGCTCCCCAGCCCACCCAGCCCTTGCTCACCCCATCGTGTTGAAGTCGTCATCGGGGGGCACGTAGTCCTCGTCATCACTGGTGAGGCCCAGCTCGTTCCCGTAGCACTGGTGAACAAAGTGCCAGAGCTCCTTGGGGCACAGAGGCTACAGGGGAGAAAAGACGCGACTCTGACCCTTCCTTTCTCAAGTCCCCAGGTTCTGCACAGGGGCACTGAGCTGGCCAGCTCACCTGGAGGGTAGACGTTGCCCTCTCTCTCCCTAGCTGAACGAGAGAAGAGCAGCCACCTCCATGCGCTTTGGGGAACTCAGCAAGATGCCAATCTTCTGCCCAGGAATACGGATTTCGGCAAAGCCAGGAACCTGGCCTTTCCTTGCCTGTTCCCTCAACAGGCAGAGGTTGCAGAATGGGACCTACTTGCCCCTGGAGGACGGCCCCTGCCCCACCTTCTGTTCCTACTGGTGAGCTCCGGCATTAGTGGCATAAGCCCATGTTGCTCTGGAGCCCCGGATCCCAGAGCTTCTGATTTGGACTCTGAAGGAGCGTCCAGAAGTCCCCTGACCCAGTCTCCCGCCCACCACAGAAATCTTCTATATTAATTGGGGCCAAGCAGGCCCTATTGGATCACTTCCAAGAATGAGGTTTGACCACAGAGGTGGCCCATTCCATAGCTCGAGAGGTCCTGTGATTCCAAAGAGTTCCACATTCTCATAGTATAAGGGGTCTAGCCCTCTCTTGACAACCCGAATACTTCCTTCCTTATTCTGAAGTGGAACTGGTTTGCCTACGGTTCTATGCACAAGTTCCAGTGTTTCCTTATTTCACTGGGTACCTACAGGTCCCTGTTAAAAAGCACTGTCCTAAGAAAAGTTGGTTCTCATGGGGTTCGCAGTCTCTGGAGAGAGGTAGAGGAATGTCAAAGATCAGAGGTGGAGACCACGATTGGGAGGAAGGGAGAAGGTGGTGGGATAAGTGGGTAGAAAAGATGTCAAGGCCATGAAGAAAAACAGGAATAATAAATATATTTTTTTTAAAAAAAACCTCAAACTTCAAGAATGTTTGTAACAATACCTTGTAAAGAGTCTGAGAGCTCACCAAGCCTGGCCTTTCAAAACATGGTTTAAGAAGCAGGCAGCTGGCAGGATGCCGTGAGCCAGCATTCTGAGAACTGCCTGGGCCAGCAGGGTTTGGGGGCGGCAGCTCTCTGTGCAGGCCCTCGAAGTGGCCCAGGGAGGCCCCTCCTCCTCCTTTCTCTGCAACCCCCTCGCCCCAACCATCTCTGGCCTTTATGTGCAACATTCACCCCACCTGGGACACATCTGCTTCTCTGCCAAACCACGTCTTACCCTGCTTCCCTGGTCACTTTCCCAGGCAGCCTTCCCTGACCAAATCCACCTGACCACAGCTGGGACAAGCACAATTAGCAGACCCCCTGTCAGCAGGCAGAAATTCTCACAATTATTTTGCAAGGGCATTTGCGAAGCATATGGATGACCCTGTGTCTTATTTAGAAATGGCAACGGCGGTGAACTAGAAATTCAAACCTGCCAGTGGAGACTCAAACACATTGTCATTTTACTGTTATTGATGGCCAATGAAGGCAGAGGATCTTGGCTCAAGTAAGTTTTCAGGGTTGATACTGGAGCTATCAACTGTTAGATTAGAACAAAGTCTAAATAAGAAATCTGCTCAATTTTCTTATATAGCAACTAGTTTGGGCTTGAGTCAAGGCAAATACATGTGTATGTTTAAATACATATATGTCAACCATACATATATATATATACAAAATTAGCTAACACTGGGGGAAAATAATACACACATACTAGCTTAGAGATAGTTTCCCAACATCTGACTGCATTTCAGAGGAACTCTCTAGGGGCAGGACCATGCACCTCCTTCATCTGTGTCTCCTCCTCACAATGTCATTTAAACATGAGTAGTCAATTGGTGGCTGTGTTAACTATATTTTCTTCTTTTCTGTATTTTGGATGCTGTAGCACCTGGGGCCTTGCTGACTGCTGAGGGACCCCCCAGGGTTAGCAAGCTGGTAGAAAGAAATGAACTCATCTGGGAGCATGCCCTCCACAGGCAGCCGACCAACCCAAAGCCCACCCCCCAACTGTCCCTTCCAGATCACATTCCCCTGCCCTAATTACCCCAAGGCCAGGTACCTGGCAACCAGAGACAGCCCCTATATACCCTGAAGCCTGCTGAAATTAGCCAAGCTAGCCAATCCCAAACGTGCAGGCCTACTCCCCTACCTCACCCTCTCCTTCCTGCAGAAACCACCACAAGGGCTCCTGCCCGCACTCTGCCCTCACTCCCTCTGCCTCCCAACACAGCCCGGCACATCCCTGCGTGGCCCTGCAGGACTCACCGTGCTTCCTGTTTCTGGGGCTCTGTGAATATGATATGAAAACTTCATGACAGCGTGTCTCTTACCATACCTCACTAAGACAAATCCTGGTACATTTAAAGCAGTGGGACTGACATGCCTGAAGTCACCGAGTGCCTTACTCCTGGTAGCCCCGAGGCCGTACACAGAAGAGGGTAAACTATTTCCAGGACCCAGGTCAATACCCTCAGAAGCAGAATGTATTGCTCACTGTGTCTGGGGGATTTCCACAACTTTCAGGAAACGTGGCCTTCTCTGGAACTGGCCAATGCACAGTAAAAGCAAACTCTCCACCGAGCCCACACCCCAGGGGAAAGAATGTTCTGGGTGGGCAGTCCTGCTGGGACTGCAGGACGGGGCCGGCCAGTACCTACCTTTTCCAGGAGAGCGTTCTGCCAGAGCCGGAACATCATCATGTACGTCCTATCCCGGGCCCCAAATGAAGTGAAGAAGTGCTGGATTGGAAGAGAAAACGGCAAGAAATGTCTGTTCAGACGTACAATAGAGACATGGTCCCCCTTCCTTTAAGAAAAGATACTGAGCTCATCCTCAAATACTCACGCCTCTCAGTGACCCGTGATCACACACAGCTGCATCAGCCATGGGGCCAGCACACTGGGGGACCTGGGCACCTGGGACGAGTCCCCACTGTGACCAGGTCTTTCAATTTTTACCCACACCTTCCTCAACGCTTCACTCCCTGGTTTGAAATTCTCATCTCCATAAAAGATGTCCTTCACCTACCTCCTGGAACTGGGTAGGGGGTGAGCTGTGAGCTAGCTTAAACACATGGACAAGACAAACCCACTGACTCTTTTCATTCATTCAAAAGATACTTGAATATTAGTATGTGTTAGGCACTCTTCTCCATGTTTGGCGTACAAGGAACAGAACAGAAAGAGACCCTGCTCTTTATCTGCTATTGAGGATCCTTATAATACACAGGAAAAAAAAAGCAACAGAAAATCAGATTTCACTGACCACCTATGAGGTGCTCCTCAAATGCTATTTCACTTAAACCACAGAAAAAGACTTTGACAATAAACAAAGCTGCCACTAACAGACAGTAACAGACTGGTGAGGTTGGGCAACATGTAGCATCACAAAGCTGGTTAGTACTGAAAACACAATTTCAACCAAAGACTACCTGACCCCAAGCCTGCTGGTTCTTGCCACTGAACTGCCCAAGTCCAAAGGAACTACACACTTTGTCTTTGGCAGAAACCTAGTCCACCCCTAGTCTTGAATCTGTTAGTCTTAAGGCTCTGGCGAAAAGTTAAAGTTTACTATTTTCTCTGTCCCTAAATTATTTACCACATTCCCCCCATACTATTAATAGCAGGGACACTCCATTTCCATCAGACTCCTCCTCCTCTCGAGATATAATCAGCTATGCTGGTATGCAATGATGACTACGTCCACTCGCACAGTGCCTTACAATGAAGCGTTTTCAAATATGTGTTGTTATCTCGAGACTGTTAAATAGGTATTGCCAGCTCCATTTTACACACGAGAAAACTGAGGCTCAGACAAGTTTACATAACATGCTTACAGTCAAGGGACTCCAATTCAGGTGTTTTGGCTCCAAGTTAAATGTTCTGCAAATCCACCCTCCCATCTCAGCTCCCAACCACCCTGCCCACTCAGGAGGTGGCTCCTGGGATCCTCATCACCCTCACTGCCTCTACCCCGAGTCCTGTTAGTGCAGCTGGAGGGCAGATGGAATGGGGCGAGTGGGAGAGTAGAAAGGCCAGAGTCCAACTCTGCTTACCTTTTCTGAATCAGTGCAAACTTGGATGGCATTGGGAATGAGGCGAGCTGTTTTTTCTTTAGTCATGGAGCAGATGTCTTTCAAACGGACTGTCAGCTGGCATCCGACAGCACAGAGAACAGAGAACAGCAAGAGGAGGCATTAGTGGAGTCGGGCAGAGTGTTCATGGGGCAGCAGTGCAGACAGGGGAAACCAGATCACAGTTCCCATCTTTCCCAACCCTGGCAGGGATCACCTGGTTAACCCCTTTATTTCGCAAAGGCCACAGAGCAAGGTAAGGACTGAGTACATTCTTGGTCCAGGAAGCCTCCTTTCTCATTCCTACAGTCTGCTAAGTGTGCAGAGGTCCTGCTGTTGTTTGCCACTTACAGAAACACAGAACACTGGCACTGGATGGGACCATAAAACTCACCTAGTTAATCTTTCTCCACCTAATCACACAGGATGAAGAAACAGAGGCAAAGAGAGCAAGGACTAGCCTAAAATCACACAGCTAATTAGTTGCAGAACCCAGAAAGTATGAAAGTTAGTTCTGCTGAGTCCCAAGGCCAATGTTCTTTTTTCCACTTCACTACGTACGCTTCCTTCTGCACTAACTCATGCCCGATATTCACCTGCATTTGCCAGAAGCAAAGGCTCTGAAGTCCTCTGTCCCACACCCAAGAGGGAGGGAGGAGGGGAAGGCATGGTGGAGGAGAACCTATTATTGGGACTCAGAACTAGACATCCTTCAAGACTCAGGCATGTGTTTTTGTTGACTACACACAGGCTTGGGAAGAGCACGAAGTCAGCAAAAGGATGAAAGTGAGGGCAGCTGGCTCAGCCACAGGCAAGGGAACAGCCCAAGAGAGCAGCCCCAGGTCTTTACCAGAGTTTCCCAGCGGAAGATGTTGCTATAGAAGCAGATCCAATTTTCTGAGAGGTAGAGTCGGCCCTGAAGAAGAATGTCTCTTTGGAGTGCACATGAGTAATCTGTGGTGGGGAGGGAGACAGGGGACTGGCTCAGAGACAGGAAGCATCTCCAGCATGTCGTACCAGCACCAACCTCCCACCAGTGACTGGGGCGCCAGACACTTGAACCGGTTGGCAGCTAAGGAAGTCCCTGCCATGATCGGGAAATAAAGGGGGTGCACTGTGCAACTGCCGAGAGGCTGAGGAATGAATGTGATGACAGAGGGGGCTGCAAAAGCTAGAGGTAGGAAAGACCGACACAATTCAACTCACTTCCCTCCCCACCCCCACAGCTATGCCAACCCCTTCCACCGCTGTGCCATCTGCAGAGATAAAATCGGCAGTGACTCCTTCCAGGTTGGGCTCTTTTTTAAAATTATTATTTCAGCATATCATAGGGGTACAAATGTTAAGGTTACATATATTGCCCTTGCCCCCCCCTTGAGTCAGAGCTTCAATTGTGACCATCCCCCAGACGGTGCGCCTCGCACTCATTATATATGTATATACCCATCCCCTCCTCCCCCCTCCCATCTGCCCGACGCCCAATAAATGTTATTCCTATGTGTCCACTTAGGTGTTGATCAGTGAAACCAATATGCTGGTGAGTACATGTGGTGCTTGTTTTTCCATTCTTGGGATACTTCACTTAGTAGAATGGGTTCCAGCTATATCCAGGAAAATATAAGAAGTGCTATATCACCATTGTTTCTTAGAGCTGAATAGTACTCCATGGTACACATATACCACGTTTTATTAATCCACTCATGTATTGATGGGCACTTGGGCTGTTTCCACAACTTTGCAATTGTGAATCGTGTCAGGCTCTTGAGGTTGCCACAGACTTGGTACTCAGCCCTGAGCCCCGAAAGCTAGGGCCAGTGCTCTGGACATCCTCTCTCCCTGTTCCCAGCCAGGCGTGCTTACTTGGGCTCCAGACACAAGCAGCCCGTGCTATGCTGGGGACTCCCAGACTTCCTCCCTGCCCCTCCCGGGTCACCCAGCTCACCAACAATGAGGCGCTCCGTGTCTGGAAGTTGCTTAAAGAGCTTTCTGAAGTCTTCATTTCTCTGCTTGTAAGTGGGGCTTAACACCTGCATGACAATGGCCCTGGTTAGCAGGATGCCCCGGGTTCAGGGTTCCATGGGGTCAGGGAGGACGGGGCAGGAGCAGCACTTGCTTGTGTGTTAAAAAGGCAAAGATGAGCCTCTGTTATCCCACAGACCCTAGGAGCCACACGGTGGGGAGAATCTGGTCTTGCAAGACGCTTTGTAGCCAGTGCCCATCAAAGACGAGATGTCGAACATACGAGGAGGGGCCCACATTATATGCCACAAAGAGAAAGGAAGGAAGGACACCTCCGGGGGCTTCCTGGGACCCATCATGTCATCTGTCCTGCTCTCTGCCGGCTGGCAGCACCGCCTTGACAGCACAGTGGGGGTCCAAGGGGGCTGCCCAGCCCCCCAGCAAGGCCCAGGATGCAATGGTGCCTAGCACACCTCCCGGAGGAAGATGTTGTCATGACTAACACAATGAGCACTTGGCCGTGTCTGAGAGACATGATTTTTTTTTTTAATCTTAAAACACAGTGCTAAAAAAAAAAAAAATCCTAAAGCATAAAACGAGTGCCAGAACAAGTACACAAGTAGAGAATTCAAAAGCACATCTGGCTCCCGACTTCGCTCCCAGCCGTACAAGATTACCTAATCCAACCTGTACAGCACCGGTGAGGAAACGAAGGCCAGAGAGAAGCACCCTGTCCCAGCCGTCGCTGGCAGGTCTCACGGTCCCTGGTCCTGCGCTCGCCTCCCACCTAGCTCTCACAGGCGCTGGGTGCAGGCGCGCACCCACACACGCCAGCCAGCCAGCCGAACACACGGCAATCCTGCCCTCTCAGGGCTTAGGATCTTAGAGTTAAAAGAAGGAAAAATAAAAAACAATACACGCCCCTGGATGAAAGGCACCCGTGGGTGACACATAAAAACAAGTGCACCCCGGGACGAGCCGTGCCTGGTGACACCGACACAGGTGCGCTCCACCCACCTGCCCTACTTGTCAGACAGCACTGCCCACCCCGCCAGGAGCACGTGCCTGCCACGGATGCACCTGCTGCACTCACACGTGGGTCTTGCTATTTACACTTTCTCACCCCTTCCCTGAGGATCCACTGGCACACAGCGGTGGTGACGGGGAAATGAGCCTCAGGCTTTTCGTTTTTTGGCTTTCTGTGAAGCAGAATGGCACACGAGGAAGCTGAGCTGTGGCCTGACCACGTTTGCAGAACGCGCGGCCTACTGAGCTGCGGCCCGGGGGGCTTCGTGCTAGAGGGAAGGGGAGGGCTTCAGAAAGTTACTTGGGGGCAGAAAAACGCCATGACCTTAGTTTGGGGAGGTTTTCCAGAACAGAGAGAGAGAGAGAGAGAGAGAGAGAGAGAGAGAGAGAGAGAGAACAGGATGCTTTCAACCACTTCATTCATTTCAATTTTAAACTTTGTTCTGGGCTTATTTACAAAATGAGTTCCACTTGCATTACTAGGTGCCCTGTTACCTTTCCAAAAGCAATGCTAGGCTGTCACAGAATTGCAAACTTCAAACGTCACCTGCTATATGTTTGAACCAAGTATCAGGGCCACTGGGAGTGGGTATCTGGAAGACGGCCCATCCCACGACTTCTATGGCTGGATAAAACCTTAGAGACAACATTCCTCTGGTCCGTGCACGAGTTTCAAACTGGTATTGAGATTTCCAATCTAGATGGCCCCTGAGCCTCTCAGAACAGAGTCCACTCTCTGAAATCCCCAAATGACCACCTCATTATGTCTAATCGACCGCCTACAGCTCTTATAGAGCTAATATGAGTTAGCTCAAGAGTTAGTACCACATACCAGGCACAGCTAAAAGCCCATTGCAGGTATCACTGCATCTGACACAGGGTTGTTTTTATTTTCCCGTTTTACACTTGAGGAAATTGAGAAAAAGAGACCTTGGGCAACTTGGGAGAGCAGAATATGAACCATGGCCGTCTGGCTCCACTGCTGGTCTGAGCCGCTACCCAGGGTCGTCTCCGGAGGGTACTCGCTCCTGGACCTTGTGCCAAGAGGGAAGTAGCAGGGCTTCCCCACAAGAGCACACTCCCTCGGGGATGGGATGCTCATCTGCTCTGGGGCCCCCACTAGCCTTCCATGCCCCCTAGTGGGTCTTTATATTTACAAATTTCCATTGCCAGCCCGGGAAGCAGCCCACAAGGAGGCCCCAAACCCCCTTCAGGTGAAACTGACATCGGGCTTCCAATAACCAGAAGCCTGGAAGTCCTCCCACTTCAATTCGCTTTCAGCAGTGCTCCCTCCACCTTGCTTCTCTCATATCCAGTGACAGCTCACATGTCTACAGAGGTGGGGGGCAGGGAGTTTGGTCACATCTCCAACCGCAGGCAAATCGAGGGGCCGCTCCTGCCTCCGGAACACAGCTTCAGTGGTGGGGAGAGGACAGGGCATGTTCAGCCCCGGCCTCTGCAGTCAGCCAGTCCTACAGACCCATTAGTCCAGGCTCGCCAATAAGTGCCTTATTCTACCAGGCTGCAGAGGGGGCTGGCAGGCCACCTCTCCCTGCTAGTGAATAGACATACTCAAGAACAGACATACTAGGTGGGGGGGTACACTGTGCCTGCCACTATTCGCCCCCACGATGCTAGAGACCACGGCCCTCTCCCTCCCAGCCTCCTTAAAGCAACCTCCTCCGGAGGTGAGGCATGGCTCACCAATTTTAATTTAACATGGCCAAGGAAGTTTGGTTCAAGTATTGTCAAATCTGGGCCCTCAGGTAGCAGAGCCAAGTGGAGCATGACAGGGGTGCAGCAGAACTGCCACAGAGACACAGAGAAACCGGGTCACACACTCACGGCTGGGATGTCCTCAGATCCACGCCAGCAACAGTGTTCGGCACCTGCAGGCAGGCCGGTACACCTCTTCAGGTACCATCGCAACGGCTGGCTTTCCCGCTCCAGCAGCAGGTTCCAGAGAACCCCAGATTCCATCAACGATTCCATCGCCTGCCACAGCTGCCCCTCTCAGTGGAGCCCAGCTCCTTGAGCTCTAATTCCCAGCTGTCCCCACGGGATGCAGACAATTGGCCGCACTTGCGGTGAGGCAGACGGGTGACCTCTGGTTTCTCGGCAGAGGGTCTGCGTGGCCCTGAAGTCCTTTGCTCTCCTATGGCTGCATTCCCAGTGCGAAACCTCCCACATGAGAAGTCAGCGTGGTTCTCAGGACAAGTTGGCCAGCCATTCTCCCATGGCGGGGCTCTGCTCTGTCCTTCTGTGCTGGTCTTCAGGCTAAGGGTAGCCCAGAGGGGGTGTGGTCAAGCACCTCCTCCTGGCCAGAGCAGTTTCCCCAAGAGTCCAGAGGACATGGACAGCCCAGCAGGTGCACTGGGCTGGCTGCAGTCCCTGACGGGCAGGTCCTGGGGTGGACAGGCAAACTTTGTAGGAACAGGATGACCCACAGCCAGGTCCCGGGTCTCACCCCGCCAGTTACTCACACTCACACTCTGCAGAGTCATGCATAGTTGGTCTGAACCCAGAGAGAAGTCAACTGCTCAGCTACCCGATGCAGTCTGGCCCATCGAGTGACACGTTCAGTCAACGTGCAATCTCTCCCCGGGGCGGGGACTGGTCGCTATGACTCACAGCCCTCACCCAGGCAGAGCGGCCACCACTGGCTGTGGCAGCAGGGCCTGCTCTCACCCCCAGCCTGACACACACCCCCTTCCTCAGCCCATGGTCCTCTTGCCTGACCAGCAAACAAGCTCTTTGTTAGAGTCACTCGTGGCAGGAGGGAGGGAGGGAGGCAGGGAGGGTGGGCGGGCAGGGCCCGAGCCCTACACATGCTTCAAGTTACACGATCTGGGTGATGGTCCTGGCCAACGTCCTCTAGTGACCCCCAGCCTTGCTTGGCCTCCCCAGCAGATGTTTCCTGCCAGGGAAAGTTGCTGGCCAGGGCTCCCAGAGGCAGAGGGGCATGGGAGGTGCCAGGGCACAGCTGTTGTGATGAAATCTGAAATCTGAGACTCAAGCAGCCAAGAGCTTCTTCTTAGAGACACACTTTCCCCTCACTGACCCATCCGCCCACCAGCTTCCAGGACTGTCTGAGGCAGACCTTTCTTTCCTTTCCAGGTGCCCCGTCCCACCTTCAGCACTGACGGGGGGACCAAGGCCAAGAGGATGCCCAGACACAGCTCAGACCTTGAGGGCAAGGCAGCAATGCTAAGGGCAGAGACTTTTGTCCCTGATCAAAAGGAGGCAGCAAAATCCAGGGAAAAAAATGAAAACCAGGTCTGTGGGGGCACAAAGGGCTCGAGACAGAAGCTCAGCATAGGGATGAGGCAGCAGTGGGCCCAGGGAGATGTGGCTTCCCAAGGAATGTCACACCCTCAAAATAAATGGGGTACTCCCTCCCCCTGCCCAGTGATGGCCCAGGAGGGCCTTGGGCCTGCAGGTGATGAAGGATGCGGCCTTTGTCCAAGCAGCCTTGGTAATTTGATACAGCTGCACTCAAACTTTATGTCCTTAAAGATGACCCAGCGGAACACATTTAAAAATGTAGACTCCTGGGTCCCCAAAGCAAAGATGCTAACTCAGAGGAACCTGGGTTTTCCCAGATAAACAGTGTTGGGCAAAGTAGAGGAAGGGTGTGAATCCTTCCCGGAACCCTCTCCTAACAAGCTCCTACACGCCTGTCAGGATGGGCAGCCCCTGGCCCCAGCCTTGGCTCCATTCGTCACACAGGTAACTTGTCCATAGACTATACCAGCTTCTCCAGGGAGGACCTATGCCTCCACCAGGCTCATATATTCTACAGCTCTGAGCACAATGTGTTTCAAATGTAGGTTGAGCATCCTTAATCTTAAAATCCCAAATCCAAAATTTTTTGAGTGCCAACATGATGCCACGAGTGGAAAATCCCACACCTGATCTCATTTGACAAGTTGCAGTCAAAACTGTGTTTCATGCACAAAATTATTTAAAATATTATATGACATTATCTTCAGGCTGTGTGTGTAAGGAGTATATGAAACATAAATGAATTTCATGTTTAGACTTCTATCATTTATATATATGCAAATATTCTAAAATCTGAAAAAAAATCCTAAATCCCAAACATTTCTGGTCCCAGGAATTTTGGAAAAGGGATAAGCAAGTATCAAGGTGCTCAAAAAGTATATGCCAAGTGAAGGCATTCCTCATCCAAGAGAATGCGTTCCTTCCTTACCCACTGCTCAAACGGGTTCCTATTTACACCATATCTTATCTGTGTGCACACTGAGCCCTAATACCATTCCCATTCCTTCTAGGAACCCAGCCCCTGCCAACACTCTCTTCAGCACACATCCCAGCTTCTGTCCGCCCTGCATGGCAGCCTATCCTGAGCATGGTAGCAGGTGAGCACAGCAATTCCATTTTCCAGGGTGACACGAATGCCTCTCTGGGCGAGAGACCAAACCCCAAGATGTAGGCAGTAGATAGATAGGTCCACGAGGCTCTGGATCCTAACAGTAACTACCCAAAAGGATGTGAGTATTTCTACAGGCCAAACGAGGAGGTGAGGAGGTGACTGTTAGGGCTGTAACGGGTGAGACAGGGACAGGACAGACCCAGAGAGACAACGCCCTGGGAGAGGAGTCTCAGCATACAGCAGCCTTTGTCACCTCCACCCCCTAACCAGGGAAAGGGCTGGGCAGGGCAGGGGCCTGCAGAGAGGGAATTGGCCCCGGGCTAAACATTAACTCTATGACAAACACTGGGAGCTGGGACCAAGTGGTACCCCCTCCCCAGGTACAGCAGGAAGGAGGGGGTGGAGGAGCCAGGAGAACAACGGATTCCGGTGGAGCATTGACCTCACCTAGCAAGAAACCAGTTAAGATCCACAAGGGAAACACTGACCCTCCAGCCAGGTCCGGTAGGCAGAAGCCAGAGGTGGGACTAAGAGACAGGGAGACAGGGAGGGGACAGAGCACAGAAGGCAGAGAGACGAGGGTGGGACTGGGAGTGGGGGCTCATCTGGAGAAGGCTGGAGCTGGGGTCCCAGAAGGGGGGCTCAGGAAGACTCTTCAAATTACGGGGTAAATACAGGGGAGGAGGACGGAAGCAGAAGAAGCACAGTCAGCTTCTGGGGAAATGCCGGGCTGCTGGTTTTGTCCTCTGAAGCTCTCCCACTCTCCTCACTGCCCACCCCCAACACCCTGAATTCCATTCCTGCAACGCCTGGTGCTTTTGTTCTCAATCTGACACCAGCCAGACTAGCTTGGCCATTCGAGGGGCTCGGCACTACCCGGCCCTCCCCTCCACCAAGCCGGCATCCCTAACCAAGGCTGCTAAGGGTCTGGCTGCTGCCGGGGGCTGGGTCCTGTGCTCTGATCTCAGACATACTCCTTCCCTGGGCTGCCCCGGGGACGATGCCCTGCAGGAATGAGTAGCAGTGGGCAGAGGAGAGTACATTCACCCACTGAGGCACAGGGAGATCTGTGTCAGCGCCCCTCACCTGAGACTCGAGCCCACCATGCCCACCAGGAACTGCCTTTGGGGGGCAGATTGCACTCCTTCTGCCCCGAAGGCCCTGGCCAGGTCACCCCAACTCTGCCTTGGCTCCCTGCTGAAGGCAAAGCTGTGTTTCTGCTTTTCCCTCCATCCCATGTCTACTGGGGCTGTAACTCCTGAGCTGGGGGCTTGAGGAAGGAGACGGGGGTGGCAAACTGGGTGGTGGGGTGAGGAGGGTAGGTATAAGCAGGCCCGGGAGGGCCTCAGGGCCCTTGTAGATAACATGGCTTTTAAACCCCACTCTACACCCCCTGCTTTCCCGCCATAGTCTTTCCACATGTCTCTGGCGTCCAGACATGTTCCTCCATGTGACCCACTCTTTAGAACAAGCTGGTTTGTCACCATGGTGACAGCTCCTCCCTACTAGCCATGTAAAAGTAAAATGCTCTTTTCTTCTGCAGACAGGTGGCAGGGGAAAAGAGAGGCTGGGGCCGGGGTGGGAGGTAGGGGTTGGCTTCCTCCCATACTAGGCCCAGGCTGCTCGAGTGGGCCTGAGATGTCTCCCAGTGGTCAGCAACTCTGCAGAGCACTGGCCCTCGCAGCTCTGAATCCAGCCAGGGGCTCCTAACAGTCCCCAGGGCTGGGGATTACAAAGCCTTCGCCTGTCTGAAGGACTTCTAGTGCAGTGATGGAGCCTTGGGTACCCGGCGAGAAATTACGGAGGACTGTGAACAGAGCTGAGAGGGGGAGAGAGGGACCCTTCCTGAAGGTCCGATTCCAACCAGCCCAGGGCAATGTAGAGGCAAGGCAGGAGGGCTGAGCTCCCTGAGGGAGAGCAGAACACCGGGTCAAAGCGGCAGGGGTGGGGCAAGGGCCTCACCCAGACGGACTGCAGGGAGGATGGGGGATCGCTGGGGAGTGGCGCTTGCTCAGCTGGAGCTTCCTCATGAGGCATCTGGCAGTGCCAAGCACACTGAAGGAAGAGGGTGCCCAGCCACCCAAGGGCAAACCCCCAGGGTGACAGCGTGAGTCCAGGAGAGGGAGGGAGGGGGCCCTGCACCTGCTCAGCACAGAGCCCCTGTGAGCTTGCCCTCTGAGAACACATGCTCTGTGCTGAGCGGAGAGCCAGTGACGTTTCTCTTGTTCATTTGGGGTAAGGGTGGAGAGTGAGAGGAGACCACCTAGGATGAATAAAGGTTGAGCCCAAGACACGACTGGGACACAAGCATGTACCCCGAGGGTGCTGTGAAGAGACAGCGAGGTCAGACTGCTTTGGTTTGTCTCAGCTGCAGGTGGGATCAGTCCAGAAGCAGGGCTCCGGCCATGCCCAACTGTCCTGACTTCCGACGCTGGGCTGCAGCTGGTGTACCCCAACTTCCAGCCAAGAGATGGCATCTCCTTCTAAGCCCGTCGCTATGCTGACGGAATGGCACTGAATGAAGGGGTGGAGTCAGGCTTCTCTCCCTCCCCGGCCATCTCAGCCCACAATGCCCCTTCTATCAGCACAGCCCATGTGCCCGGTATCAGCACGGCCCTCCAGGGTGCTGGGAAGGCTGAGGCTGGCGGATCCACAGCACCAGGGACGGGCAGGCCACTGGGCAGCAGGAGGGCTCACTGGCATGAGCTTGGTGTGCCAAGTCGGAAGACACAGCCCACACGAGTGACCCCATCCCTACATCCCCCCCATGCCTCTCCCCTAACCTTCCACCCTGTCTGTCACAGCCACCTTCCCCACCGGCTGGCCCTCGCCTACGCCTCCCGCTGGGCCAGAATCGAGAGAGGGGCCGGGGGCAAAGGCAGATCAGAGTCTCTCATGAAGACAGCAGGCTCAGAGGCCAAGGCAATGGCCAGGCCCGCCAGAGGGCAGAGTGCACGAGGCAGGGGCCAGCTCAGAACCTCGGCCAGCTGCTTTTCTGGGACTGCTCATTCCATGACACAGTTCCCGGCTATAGAGCAGATGGACCTAGAAGATGGCCCCAGGCCACCCCTTCCCCACAGACCCAAGAATTAGAGAGGTCTACTGGACGGAGCATGCTTTTATGGCTATTGACGGGTATCTTGGGAAGCCAAATTCCATCACAGGGCACAGCCTTTCTACCAATGGGGGAAGTTATCTGGTAGCATTTCCCCCAAAATGTCTTAGTTAAGGGAAAAAAACTAAGACCCCCCCCTCTCAAGGCCATCCCAGCCTCTGAATTCTATCTGGACAGGAATGGCCACTCCTCCCATGAACGGCCCCCTCCCTGAGCACAGAAAGAGCCTTGTCCAACAGTCTGGGTGAGGTAGGGGATAAGGTGGCCCATCCTGCCTTTGTTTCCCCAAGTCAAACCCTCCCTTCGCCAGTAAGGCTGGTCCCATCCCACTGTGGAGTACCTCTTTTGGGAGCCCGACCGCACTCCACCCCCCTCCCCTGCCCACCTCCACCCCCCTCCCCCTGCACATGTACCCAACAAGAAGAGAAACAGGGATACTTACATTATACCAACTCTGGCTTTTCTGCAAGGACAAAATAGAAAAGAAGTAAAATTAGTCAGGGAAGGGATGCAGGGAGTGCCAGGGCGTTCCCGGCTCAGAGGGTTACACAGATAGCAGGGGTGGGCGGGAGGAGGAATCCAAAGGCAAGTGGATGCTTCCCATGTTGCTGCTCAGGAGGGGGCCTCCTTTCTCAACACAGCCCCAGAAAGGAGGCCCAGGGAGCAGTCCATGCCAGAAGCCCCCCTCGAGAGGGTGGCAGGCAGCAGCACCAGCTAGAGCTCAGCCAGAAGGGAGGCAGAGCCCCATCTCGAGTTCTGATGGGGGCAGAGGATGCGTGAGGGCATCCAAGACCCAGTCCCCAGATGGGTCCTGACCAGAAGCAAAGTGCACATGGAGCCAACCCAGCCCTCTGGGACACCCGGTGGTGGGGGAGGAAGGAGCCCGCCTGTGATTTCCCCCAACCGTGCTCTCTGCAGGCAATGAGTAAATCCCTCCTTGATGCCAAGGAGGGGCTGATCACCTAATGGCAGAGCGCTTGGGGGTCTCTACCTAGGAGGGAGGTGGAAGCACAGACTCTCTAGGGGTCTTTTCCACCCCTGTGGTGCTATATTTCAATACCAGCCAAACCAAACCCTGCTCCAGCTCAGAATTTAGGTGTTCTTCGTTCTCTACCCAAGGAATGGGAGGACAAGAGGAGGGGAGGCTAAGACTGTGCCTCGTCTGACTCCCATCCCTGTGGCCAGGAGCCTTTTGTGCGCATCCCACTCGGAAGACGGACGGACACCCAGACAGACAGGTGTACACACACCCACGCTTGCCTTGGGTCCCACCCCTTGAGTTGCTGATCCAATACGTTTACACTGGGGCTGGGGTATTTTCAGTTTTAAGAAGCCTGCTGGGGTAAAACTAAGGTAGAGATTGAGTGGGGAGAGGGGGTGCTTTGCCTGCAGGCCGACACCTTAGCTCTCCCCAGAGGCCTGGATGCCAGCCATAACTGGCAACCTTTGTCCCCTCCCCCTGGTGTCAGGGGGCCCTGACTTACAAGGGCAGAAGAGGGTAGCCACTGTCTCCGCATGTCTGTTGGGAGGAGATGACTATGTCCCCAAGGGTGGGCAAGGGTGACCGTAGCGATTACCGGTGGTCACGTGACCTATATCTGCCCCCTCTCCAGGCCCCCCCATTGCACCCGAAGAAGTCTGGGGAGACGGTCCACCTTCACTCCCAAGCAGCGGAACCGGAGGTGGGTGGTTGGGGGGGCAGCCGTGGGTGCTGCTCCCTCCGAGTGGTTTCACACTCATACCCAACCTAGTGGCCAGGATGTGGCCACGGGAGCAGATGGCAAGGCAGGCTCCCCATCGCCCTCTGCAAGGTGCCTCCACGGTCATTTCAACAGAGGCTGTCACCATGGCCCCATGCAGAAGCCACACCCTCCCACCGCAGCCACACCCTCCCACCGCAGCCTCATCCCCTCCTCTAATCCAGCAGTCTCAGCAGGTAAAGGGGCCAAATCCAAATATCCAAAAGCAACTATTTCATCACTGAGGGAGGTGCCACCACATGGGAACCCTGGACCTGAAAATTCGCCTCTTGGGGCAAGCAGGCTCTATCTGACTTGATCTGCCTCCTCTGACGTATTACTTCATGGATCCCCACACGGAAGCCCCAACTCCAGACCGCAGGGCCTGAGGCTGTGCGGATGGTCATTAAAGTGAACCCTGGGAGCCGCCAGCCCCGACTGCCCCACGGTTCCATGTGTTCATCAAACCCCGCCCAGGTCCTCAGACCTGGCCTCACAGCTGAGCAACCCATCACCCATGCCCCGGCTCCTCATCCCACCGCCCTGGCCCGCGTGTAAGGCTCCAGGAGAAAAGGGAGCAACAGGAACGAGGGCTGAGTGGGGGCACCAAGGTCCTCTGCGATTCCTCCTACCCGGCGCTCCGGCCGCCCCGGGTGGACAGGAGGAGCTGGTTCCTTTTCATGCATTAGCACATCGACACTTGTCCCTTCTGATTTGTTTGGAAACAAGCTTCAGGTTCACAAGCAGCCCCAAGGAAGGAACCTGTGTCCTGTCTCTAACTAACTAGCTCTGTGGTTCCCTTGTGTCGAATATCTGCTCTTTGTAAAGGGCGGATAAAAAACATGTTTCTCCAGTATTGAAAAGAAATGTGAAATACGCCAAGGACTTCTGAGGCTCTACCCCTAGACTAAGCTGCTCTAGGCAGCTTCTTACCTGCCACCACAGAGGTTACAGCCAGGAAAATGAGCCCCCACCCCTCCAGTCAAATCCACACAGCCCCCCGGGACTAGCCACGGCGGCAGGCAGGAGCCCTGACCTCCGACCAGCCTCTTGGAAGCGGGTCTGCTCCTTGCGGGTCTGCACTCCTGGGACTGAGTCCTGAAGGAGCTGCGGGTCAGCCAGGGCCCAGGCCCACGGGGGCCAGGCCAGGCGGGGCCGCAGGGCTCTGAAGAGGGGTGTCCACCGGCACAGCGGTGCATGGGACAGGGCCAGAGGGAGGAAAGCACAGAACGAGGGAGCCTGGGCTTCTCTGAGGGCGCTGACTGGCTTTGGCTACAGGGAGAGGAGGGAGTCAGGGCAAAGCAGAGCTCTTTTCCGGTTTCCGCCGCCATCCCTAGAGGACGTGTGAGGAGCAAGCACCTAAAGGAACGTGCGGCCCCTGGAAACAGACCCAAGTCACCTCATGGTGGTTTCCAGAAACATCTCCCACCGCAAAGGCTCGCGGAGTCTGGAGGATGGTGGGGGGCGGGGAGGGGCGGGACTAGAGCTCTACATCTAGAAGAAGTCAGAAAAGAAAAACAACTTCTTACTTTGATCAGGTTAAGTCTGTCATACTGGAAAGAAAACCACAGAAATTAGAATTGAAAAAAAAAGGGGGTGAAGGCCAAGGAGCATCCCTGCCACCGCGCCAGGGCGGAGCCACGCACCCTCCGAGGGGGGCGCGCTGCAGGGCGAGGCGAGGCCGCCAAGCCGCCGGCCGGGGCGCAGGTGCGCGCCCGCTCCCCCTCGTGGCCGCAGGCCGCCACTGCAGAGCGGGAGCGGGTCCCCGGCGGGGCGGGCTCCGGGCCGGGCAGCAGCCAGGGCACAGCGACAGAGCCAGAGGAGTGGGGCCTGAGAGACTGCCCGGGCCCACCCCTGTGTCTCAGCAAATGGGGAAACGGAGGCCCAGAGAAGAGAAGAGACACTGTGCACCAGGCCTGCCTCCAGGGAGTAGCGGAGGCACCCTCCAGCGCCCTGAAAATGATGACCCGTCGCGGCCTCCAGAGGTGAGCAGGTGGCAGGGAGTGAGGTGGCCTGGCTGCGACAAGAGCCGTACTAGCTCTGGCTATCAGATCGACCGCCCCACCAGCACACCTTCCTGTCTCTCCCCTCCCTACACAGGCCTGGCGGAAGGAGGGGCTGGCGGCGATGGTAAGGCGGGAGGATGAGGAGGGGAGGCAGGTGGCCGCTGCCCGAGAGCTCAGAGAACAGGTCTGCTGGGGACAGGCGTGGCCTCAGTCCACCCGCAAGAAAGGGAGCCGCGGCTAACTCTCCCTTCGTGCTCAGCCCTCCGTCCCTTCACAACACCTCGCTTTTGCCTCTCTAAAACCCCACTCGGAATTCCGCCTGTTCCCCGACACAGGTCCCAGCTGGCCCACTCATATATAATTTATGGTTTCTCCTAGCTCTGAATTCAGGTAACATCCCATACAAACTACTCAAGTGGTTCTAAAAAGCCAGGCTTGGTTTGCAGAGAATCTAATCTGGGCAATGGACTGTCTGGCTTCACCTCTGGATGGAAAAGAGCGAGGGCTCTGGGCAGAAGCAAGAAGGAAGCGGAAGGAAGAAACCGACGCCCGGGCAGGCCTATCTGGGCCCCAACACCTCCCAGTCCCCACGTCAGCCAAGCCAGGGGTGCCGGGGGCTCAGGAAGACTGACACAGCTCATGGCCAAACCCTGTCCCCAGACGCCTGCACCCGTGGAGAGCTGCTGCTGGCATCCTCAGGCAGGGTCCTCCTCCCTGCCCACAGCCGCTACCGCCATTTACGATCCTCAGCCGCAAAGCTGTGCTTCCCGTCTGACGGTCACAGGCGGCGGGATTAGCCGTGTAGCCTCTTGTTCTTCCCTCAAGAGAGAGAACAGCTGTTCACCCTCCTCCTCCCCAAAACACCTTCAGAGACCTGGGACTATTATTAAGTCACCCTCAGCTTTCTCCTCTTCAGCCTGCAACCCGCCCCCAGCCGTGGGCATGGTCTCCTGGGCCCTGTTCCACAATACCTATTGTTCACCCGCCACCTTCCTCCTCAGGCCTGGCACTGCGTCCCTGACCTGGCCACATCTTTCCAGGGTCCTGAGGGGCTGCTGTCAACGGTGGCCAAGCTCCAGGTGCTGGCACTGCACCTTCTGAGACAGCAGTTCTCCTCTCTGACCACAACCCAGGATCCTGAAAAGGCCATGAGCCCCCAGGGCTGGGCAGGAGGTGTCTGAGCAGCTATGGGGTGGGAAGCTCGGGGTAGAGCTCCTGAGGGCACTGCAGCTCCGCCAAGACACTTGTCCACCTGAACTCCACCCCTCAGTCAGCACGCCCTTTCTGCCACCTCTAATCACTACTGTCACGGAGTCCACAGTCATCCACCAAAGGTGGGGGGTCAGGACCTGCAGTCTGGCCAGATGGGGTCCCCCACTCCAAAGAAATAAAACTCACCCTGTCAGGACTCTGCTCCTAGGTGGCACCATGTAAGGAGGAAACCATTCCCAGCCAAAGGCAGTGTTTGGGGAGCAGGCAGACAGGGGTGGGGTGGGGTCTGTCCTCTGACATCGGGTGCAGTGGGGGTGGGACCTCAGTGACTTCCAAGCCAGCCTGCCAGGGACAGTGGGGCCGGCCCCTCTGGGAAAGGAACCAAGCAGGACATACGGGCCAGAGTGGGCAGGGGCCGAGGAAGGGGTGCTGAGCACTACAGACAATCCAACGCTAGAGGGGGGATAAAAAGACAGACACAGAGATGGCTTACTTTTGAGAGGCGCTTGTGAGACTAAGACCATGCATGCAAAGAAGGTATTTGGGGAATGGTGGGGAAGAAGAGGAAGAACAAGAAATCAAAAGACAAATTCAGGTGGGAAGCCAGCCCCCGTGCCTCCCAGGGGTACCCAACCCCTCCCCCAGCCCTCAGAGTCCACAGGTGAAGAGAAGCTTCTTGAAGGAGCACCTTGGCAAAGATAGCTCCTGTTCCCAAAAGACTGGGGGTCCCCCAACTAGCCCAGGGCTCCCCCAGGGCTTATTTTATGCATCTCCCTGGGCCAAAGACCCCCGTGCTCAGGTGGCAGTGCTGACATTCTTGAGAGGGACGGAAAGGCCCTGCCATCGTGCTCTCTCCCAGAGGAGTACCAAGTGGGTTAGTATTAAGGTAAGGCAGGATGGTGGCCAACAAAGAGGCTAAAAATAGCATTCTGCAAGGTTCCCTAAGGACTCTTTCCCTGGCAGTATTGTTGTTCCAAATAATGTTCTCTTCTATGCCAGCTTTAGGGACCAAATTTGAAAAAGGTAGCAGAGATAAAGCGATGACCACCTCCTGATCCCAGAGCATCCTTCCTCCCAATCCCAAGGTATGTGAGGCTCCCTAGCGCAAGGCCCCTCTCAGAGAGCTTGGCTAGGAAGATATTGAACTAGGGTCCCACCTGCCTGCCCACCCTGTCCTCGATGAATACAGACTCTCTCTGGGACACCAGGGCCATTCGATCACATCCCTCGAGGCAGTTCTCTACCTCACGGTCGCTGGTACCAGGTTCCCTGCAGCCCCCTAACACCAACGTGCCCAGCCTCCAGCAGGGGCCAGCTCACCTTGGAATTTTTGCCGCCACTCCGGCCGGACTGGGAGGAGCAGCTGCGCTGCACACCCTGCTCTGGTGTGGACGGGGATTTGTCCGAGGAGTGATCTGAGCCCTTCTCCACCATGGCGTCTCCGTCCTGGTTCTGGGGGGTTGGCGAGCGAGGCCGCTTCCGGAGGATGGGTGAGCAGGCCGGTGTGCTGCGGTTTGAGTTACTGGCAGTGCTGCAGGGGCAGATGGAGACAGGGAGCGGGGTGGGAAGGGGAGGAGGAGAAAAGGCAGGCAGTCAGTGATCCGAGGCCAAAGAGTCTAAAGGAGCCAGCTCAGGGAACCGGGGTGAGGGGCTGGGGAGAAACGGGGAGAACTGGGCCCAGCTATGGACTTGCTGCACCACAAGCAATACTGCCACTGGCCACAAGAGGGCAGTAGTGCCAACATGAAAGGGGAACCAGGACTAGGAAGGGACAGGTGGGGCAATGAGACACATAGATATCCATCCATCCATCCATCCATCCATCCATCCATCCATCCATCCATCCATCCATCCAATTGTAGTGTGAGCCCCTGTTAGATGCCAAGAAATGTCTAGGGAAAACATAATTTAAGACTCATTGGAGACTATCCAATATAAACATCAACTCATTCTGTATATGCTACAAATCCAAAGTCTCCTTCTTTCTTCCTTTCCTTCTTTTCTCTTTCCTTTTTTCCTTCCTTCCCTTTCTTCTCTTCCTTTCTTTCCTTCCCTCCCTTCCTCCCTCCCTCTCCCTCCCTCTTTCTCTTTCCTCCCTGCTTCCCTTCCTTCCTTCCTTGTCTCACTCTGTCACCCAGGCTAGTATGCAGTGTTGTCATCACAGCTCAATGCAACCTCAAACTCCTCAGCTCAAGCTATCCTCCTGCCTCAGCTTCACCAGTAGCTGGGATGACAGGTGCACACCACAACACCTGGCTACTTAAAAAAAAATTTTTTTTGTAGAGCTGAGGTCTCTCTACGTTGCCCAGGCTGCCCTCAAACTCCTGGCCTCAAGCATTCCTCCATTTTGGCCTCCCAAAGTGCTGGGATTACAAATATGAGCCACTACACTGAGCCCCAAATCAAGTTTCTATATTTTGTTTGGATATTTTTGTTCATAAAAATAACAATAATCATCCTACTTTTTCAAAGCCTCCATAGACGTATTATTTCACTAGGTTCTTAAAAAACATTCCAGCAAGGTAATAATGCCAAGTACCATAATCACTATGCTTAAAAAAGAAGACCCATGCAAGGCAGAGTGAAGCTAAAGGCCCTCTGAGCACAGAGAGCTTAGAAACGAAACTTGAGTCTTCTGATTTGCAAAGCCACAGCATCGTACTATCTCCTTGTAAGCCACAGTGGTTCCTGCTGCCTCTGCCCAAGGTAAAGATGAACACAGCAGAAGTTCCCACATTCCAAATCACCCTACCCCAAAATTCATGTCCAAAAAGTACCTTATACTTCCCAGAGGACCAAATCCACGAACACCAAGGGTTATAAAGCTGTGAAAAATATTTTCTATTTGATATTTCGCTTGTATTTTCAATGGACTGTAACAAGAGGTGAAGGGCAGAAGTAGAGGGGGAAATTGAATGCAGTTAAATTGTAACAGGTATTTGCTTTGCTTGAGAAAACAGAGAAAGGAAAGAGATGGGGAAAGAGAAAGGTTAAACAGAAAGAGGCAGGGGAGATAGAAGGGAAGGAGAAGAAAGCCACAGGGCGGTAGGGGAAGATTGAAAGCAGAGCGTCCTGCCCACCTAGGCGGCAGTCAGACAGCACGGCCAGGCTTCAGAATGCCCCAGGACCTGGCTATGAGCACTCTAAGCCCTCAGGGAGTGCAAGGCCCGGGACACTGTCATTTGCATAAAGATCCAGCTGTGACCTCAGACATCCCATTGGCCCTATTTGCAATGAAAACCAAGCCCCTTTCAGCAAAATCTTCCACCAGGGCATCCTCAGCAGAGACAAAGCAACAAATGCCAAGGGCATGAACCAGCAAGTGCGGGCAGCTGGGGCGGGCCGTAACTTTTGGAAGGAGACTGGTGGAGAAAGGGGGGGAAAGGACAAGAGATAAAGACAAATGCGGCCAGAGGAAGTATGGAAAAAAGCAAGGCCCACTGTTTTGCTTTATCCTAAAACAGAAATTGCATTCAAAATCTCATATCTAATACGAACAATAGCTGAGATTTGAGGAAGCCTAAGATGATTGAAGCAAGTGGTAGGCAAAACATTCTAACCTGCAGGACACCGATTCCAACTATCCAAAACCACACGAAACTCACCCTAAATCATCAAAATGTCCATGCGATTTATTTCCGCATCACCCAGTGGTCCCACTTCAGCCCACGCTATATGTGCCACCCAAGAATCTGTATGCCTAAAATTCTGCCCTCCACACGTCACTCAATGAACAATTGAACAATGAACTGTCTCTTTGTGCTCTGAAGGCTGCTGCTCTTCAAAATCTCTCTTCTCCCTGTTGATATGCTCCTCTCCCTTCTCTTCCTCTGCCTGCCTCGGACTTAGTCACTGAATCCACCACGTCTATCTCCATAAAGCTCCTCATCCTGTCCCTTCCTTCCCAGGGCCCTAGTTCAGGGCCAAGGCTTCTTGCTTAATCTCTTTTGGTGGTTTCCTCTGTGTCCTCTTCCTTTTCCTACTCATTCACATCTTTGCCAGTAACTCTTTCTAAATACAAGCCTGATATCATTCTGCTCCCCACTAGCACTCATGTTAAAGTCCCAGATCCTCAAAATGGAATTTAAAGTTCTCTACTATAAATAAACGACACATCTATATTTCAATACTTTCCTTATTCTCTTTATACTTTAAAGAGTGTCCATACTCTACTTCTACATATCTTCCTCTGTGTCTTTAAGTTTTTACTGATATATAATTGTTGCACATATTCATGTGCAACATGGCACATGTGACATTTTGACATATGTATACAATGTTTAATGATCAAATCCAGGTAACTGGGACATCTATCAACTCAAATATTTATTATCCTTTCTTTGTGTTGGGAACATTACCATTCTTCTAGCTATTTTGAAATATGAAAGTAATTATTAACTATAATTTCCCTACTGCACTGTCGAATGCAAGAACTCACTCCCTCTAACTAACTGTACTTTTGTGCCCAATAGGCAACTTTTCTTCATTCTCTCTCTCCATTCCCATACCCTTCCCAGCCTCTGATAACTACCATTCTACTCTCTACATCCATGGCATCCACTTTTTTAGCGTCTATATTTGAGTGAAAACGTGTGATATTTGTCTTTCTGTGCCTGGCTTTCCCCTGATTTTCTTAGTACACATTCTCATTCTCCTGCCTCCAGATTTCCATACAACTCCCTGCTTGAGCCGGAAGAGCCCTTTCTGTTCCTATCTCTCTACTGGAATCCTGTTCATTCTTCAAGACCTGTCTCAAATCTCACTTTCTCCCAAAAGCTTTTCTAAATCTCCACCACCAAATTGACTAAAGCATTTAACACATTTTGCCTGGTATTAAAGTTAAGACCCACGAACTCCTGGAGGTACACTCCTCTGCCGTACTAGACTCCAAAGTAGCCCAGTGCACAGCTCTGTGTGTGTTCAGTAAATGTCTGTTGAATTGAATCCCATCCCAGTGAAGGTCTCCATACCCATGGCTTTAATAATCCCCAATATCATGACAGCTCCCAAATCTGTACCTTCAACCTGCTGATATTAACAAAAATAGCTACAAATTATTGAATGTTTCTGAGCTCCAGGCACAGCAGCAAGCATTTATTAAGCATTATTTGATTTAATCACCCCAAACTCAACCCACAAAGTTTTAATGGATATTATTGCTAGTCCTAGTTTTCAGGAGATGTATTTGGTTTCTTGACAGATTAAGCAATTCACCCAAAATCATACAGATGGATGAATGGCAGGATTTAAAACACAGGCCTATCCGATCATGGAGCTTGTTCTGAGAACCAAGCATTCAGTGTTTGTGTGCCGGGTGGGTAGACAGAAAGATGGATGGACAGAAGGATGGGCGGGTAGCAGGGTGAATGCAATGAAGGAAGGAATCAATTTCCTGCCTCTAGTTTTCAATACATTCTTTACCTTCCTGCCAAAGTGAACTTCCTAAAAAGTGAAATTGACATTTTTGACCATCTTCTTCCCTGGTTAAGCCCCCTCATGGTTTCCTACCCTCTTAGAATAAAACCTGAACTCCAGACCACGGACGGCTTCCTCAGCTATCTTTCTCCAGCCCCGCATCAAGGCCTTGCTACAGGTCCCTATGCCATGCACACTCGCTCCTCCATGCCTCAGCAGTCTCTTGCTCTCTTTTTCTTCCTCTCTCTCTGAAATGCTATCCCCCCAGTCACCTGACCAACACTTACACCTCAAGACTAAGCCTACGCCCCCCTACCCATGCTCTCCCCACACTCCCATCCTTCTCTATACAAGAAGAAATGTTTGCAGCTATAGCTGTAACTCAGCACAATCAGTACTAGACTCACAGGATTCCTAAAACTCTTCAAATGTATCCCATTATCCTACAGATGTGGATGTCCTACTGAGCAAATAAAACCAATTCTTACATATCTCATCACACAGAGCATTTTGTCTTTCAAACAAACATTACGATGTGCCATCATTTGACCCTGCCACCATTATTAATAACCATATTGCATTATATTTTAAATTATTAGAATTTTAGAGCTAAAAGAAAGATTTTAGAATTGCTATAGCAAGGGCAGAACCTGGATGATCAGATGTACTGGTATCAGATGAGCTGTCAACCCCCTTACCAGAGTTTAGGGTTGGGGTGTCCGGCTCTCAATTTGACATGTAAAAAGCCTGAGAAATAGGAAGTTCAGTGCGTGGTCAAGGTACTATAACTTCACATCTGGCTCTTTCTTCAGTTCCACAAATATTTCCTGACCACCTAGTATAATGCTAGGCATTCAAGTTCAGATTGGTGAGTAAGAAAGGATCCCTGGGCTTAGGCCGTTTATAGTCAGGAAGAGCTGGACATGTATTCCTCCCCTGCTAATATAAACAATGAGTAGTGTGATAGCAGAGAATAAAGGAAAACAGAAATGCTTCCCCGAGGATATGGCACCTGAGCTAGATGCAGAAAATCTGTGGAGCTAGCCAGATGGAGGGTGTGAGAGGAGAGAAGGGAATGTTCCAGAAAGAAAGAAAGAAAGAAAGAAAGAAAGAAAGAAAGAAAGAAAGAAAGAAAGAAAGAAAGAAGATAGCATGAACAAAGGTATAAAGAGCATTATAAGAAACTATGTGCTACTGAAACATAACATGCTCAAGTGATGCTTTAGAGATTCCAATAATCTTCAACTCTCCCCAGTAAGACTTCCTCTAAGACCGGCCACCTTTAAGCCCTAGAAGGGCCCCAGAAGTCACACATCCCCCAGGTCCCCCTGTTTTTCAGCAAAGACTATTTCACTTCTCTCCCGGTTACCTTGCTAACAAATACTGCACACTTAAGTCCGACCCCACTATCTCATACTATTAACAGACAATGTTGGATCCCACTTCCTGCAGTTAGGTCTAGCTGGTGTCCTTGAGAAACAGGGAAATACAGAACGAGGCCAAAGGCTCTTCAAGGCTTTCTGCAGTGACTCTCTCTGCAGCTCCCTCCGCCACCACCTCAGACAAGGTGGCCACTGCACCACTTCACTTGGCTTTCTTCCCCATCCATATCCCCGGCATGGTCCTGCAGGCACAGGCAGACCTTGGCAGCAGGCCAGCTCCTTGGTCAGCCACCCGTGCAGTTTTCAGAACCCTGAGCAGGGCAGAATGGCTAGCTGGTGTTCCAATGTCCCTCACTTGAGTTAACTTGTTTGCCTTCAGAGAAAATCATTTCTGCCCCAGATTTTGCAAAATATGCAACATGTACCTGTCTCTCTGGACCCCGGCACCTCCACCTGTTTGGATTACAGCAGCTCCTTCCTACTTTCTTGCCACGGTGCGTCCCACTGGCCACCCCGGCCCTGGCTCATTCCTAATCAGATGTCCACCCCTCCTCCCCACACCTGGACACTGCATGTTCACTTCAACGTTTCTTCTGAGTCCGGCCCTACTGTGACCTGGATGTACAGCTGTAATCCCCACAATGCTGGGGGACACTGGTAATTTTCTTAAAAGGCTGCCTGACACATTCCAGGCTACCCTCACGTAATGGGAAGAGTATTTAATTAGAAATTTAGAAAGCCAGCTTTGATGTCACATTTGTGTGCCGAAGGCCTGCTTGGGCACTACAGGATCGGGATTAATTCCCTGTGGCGTCAGCAGCCCAGGGTTGGGTCCCAGCTCAGCCACTCTCTTGCTGTGTGGCCCCGGCCCCCAAGCCTCATTTGTCTCATTGGAAAAATGAGAGATACTAACACCTATCTCACCAGACTGTGGTGTTAAATGAAATAACATTAAGTAAAATATTTAGCACATTACCTGGTACCTAACTGATGCTCAATAAATATTTTTGAGCTATTATCATTAAGAAAGCTCCTGTTCCTCTCTGTTAAATGCGAAGTAAATGTCTTTGCCCCCTTTCCTAAGAGGCTTTGAGTGTTCCAAGCATCACTTCCCATAGTGGGGACCACCAGGAACACATGGGGGGCCCCCTTAAAATGCAGAATCTCCCCTTACCCCCACACCATCCACCCAATAAATGCAAATTTCCAGCAGATGGTCTTAAGAATCTGCATTTTAAATAAGTGGCACAGGTGATTGATTCTAAAGTCTGAGAACCACTGACTGCTCTCACAAGGAACAATCTTTTAAGTATCAAGGAGTAAATGATGTATCTGCCCCAGGGGACAGAGACCTGTTTACAGCTGTTCAGTGTCTACCGCGAAGGTGGACAAGCTGGAACAGTAACATTATTTGAGCTTGTGACAGGAACTGCCAGTATAGAAGAATCTGAAGTGGAGTGGACGTGGCGTAGGCAGGAAGATGTAGCTGAGGACAGTAGTAACCGATGGGACGCCACCTTCTCAGGTAGGAGCCTGACAGTTACCATTAGCCATATTACAAGCATCTCCTCCCTCCTCACCTTTCACAGCCTCTGCCTGAAGCTGATGCTGATACCTAGCAGTCCCTCATTCCTAACAGAGGACTAGTCTGTCTGTTATCCAGCGTCACACGTCCCGGCCCCCATGCCGATCCTGAAGTTTCATCCATAATCCTCCTCAGTTCTTTATAATGCCACTGCAAACATCCACACGAATTAGCCAGCTCCCCTTTGAGTCTTCCCATAGCACATGCTCCAGAGTCTGAGATAGGAAGGCCACAGGTGTATTTGTATAACATTTGCATGAAATTTACACGCTGCCTGCACGTGCCTCCATTTGTAGGTCTGTCCACCTAAACCAGTTCTGATCTCAGAGCTCACTAGGACTCCCTGAGGATCCTTATTCTCTTTTCTGTATGACTGCTTGCCATTTAATAGTGTCTACATTCCTCTGTACCCACTAAAAGCTACATCACAGTAGGAGGGAAGGGCAGACCCAACCAGAACCTTGTAGAGGGGAGTGAATGGCCCAAGTCACAAATTCCAGCAGAGCCCTCGATTTTCCTTAAAGAGCAAAATATCAGGTCACTTTTTAAAAAAAAGGCTGGCTTCACTCCCTGTTATAGCCTCCTAAAGGTTGCTATTCCTTTTACTCATGAAAATAACGCCATTGTCCCCAAGTCCCCAACATGACTAGTTCAGAGAAAGAATTGAAAGGGACTTTACAGTCTGCCCCTCTCACTGTTATGGATGGGAACACAGGTCCAGAGAAACGACATGACCATCCACCAAAGGGTTAACACGCAGGGGGATGCCTCTGCTCCTCCACCACCCAGACCCAGGTGCTTAAAGGTTGAGTCTCAGTGGCTTCTCCCCAACAAACACACACTTTTTAGGGTACTGGACGTGGCAGGAGTTCAAAAGGAGAAGACATACATAGTTGTTCTCTAAGAGGAGCTCTCTGTGACCATGCATGGGACCTACTCTTTGTGCACCTATCATTTGGATAGGTGAATCTAAACCTGGTGACAACTCTACCACTGGGTCCAGTTCCCTTTCTAAGGTAAAAAGCCAACCGTGCCTTTTGTGTCAAGCTGGGATTACCTGTTTGAGAAAAGAAGCCAGACAGCTTCCAGGACAGGTGCTGTACCCCCTACACACAACCCCCCGCCACTGAGTGGAGGTTCTCTTCCCAAACTTATGCTAAAGCTGAGTCTCAGCCTTGTCCCAGTGGGCCAGACCTTGGCCTGGATTTAGCCACATGTAGCATTTCTGCAAGAGGAAGGGCTCCCGGGAGAAGCCTCCCTTTGCCATCACATTCATACGAATGCCAGCTGCAGATGGACGCAGCGGGCCTCCCCTAACTGCTACAAAAGCAAGATCCTGACAGAGAAGAACATCTTGTCCCACTCCTGTTTAGGTAACTTGCTGCAATTCCCTGGGGGCCTGTCAAGTGGTGCATTTGGGTGAAGTATGCAAGCTGTTCGGGGGGATAGTTCAGTCTGAAATTTGGAAACAAAAGGTCCAGACCACAGGTAGAGACACGTGACACACGGAAGCTAGACAACTCTCCAGGCTCACTGCCTCGCCGCTGGTCACCCGAACATTCGCCCTCAGTGTCCACACAGCTCACGTCCTTTCTGCGCTCCATCCATCACCCGTCCTCATCTCTGTAGATACTGTGTATCTACAGATAATTCAGGGCACTTCTTATGAGCAACAGGCCTTACTTACTGATTCTCCCTACCCTACCTTATCTAAGTATCTAAGGAAAGTTGGAAAAAAAAATCTTACAAAGTAATTGAAAGATAGCAGAGCCTATCCAAAACATTTGCAGCCGGTTGATAATTTAATACCTAGACATACTTTCATGAGGGATCTACTTAAGCCAGGAAGGAATTACTTGCTGAAGAGGTGGGGCGGAGGGGTGGGGGAGTCCTAGCAGCGACTTGGGTTGCTGATGAATTTATTAATTGGCTAATTAACATGAGGGCAAAGTCCATGGAACATTTTTTGAACAAGCAGAGAAAAGCAGAACTTCGGTTACCCTTCCACTGGCATTTTCAGTCCAGAAAGGTGACAGGTGGCGCGAGTGCTAGGCCCGGGCAAAGGTGGTTTGCCTTTCTTACTCAGGCCAAAGGGGAGACATCCCTCATCACAGTGGCTGGAGCCTTCATCCTTCCCACTCCCCCCTGCTGCCTGGCTTTCCTGCAGCTTCTGTTCAGCCCAGATTTTGGAATTCAATCCAGGAACAGGCATGACAAACACTATTTTTCATTTCCATGGAGACAAGGGCCTGCAATAGAACCAAGACTCCATGCCTGAAATGCCAAAACAGCCTGACCCACTTTTCCCCCTTCCTACAAAAACAAAATAAGTTTGTTTGGGTCCTGCCAGGGCTGAGGGGGGAAAAAGCCAGAGCTCTTGTTATCTCTGTGGATATCTCAAAGAGGAACAAATTATGGTAACCTCTGAAAACACTGAGGATGCTGCAGAAACAGTGTCAGAAGTCAGGTGTGAATTGTTTCACCCAAAGGGCTCACAGGCTGTACCAAATCCATTCTGGTTCCTTGTCTTAACCTTGGACCACTCCATATAAAACGGCCTCGCTAAGCCCAGGCAACCATTGCCATATGGACGTGTGCTCCCCTTCACTGCACTTATAGGAACTGAAATTGTCTAGTTTTTGTTGTTGTTTAGTTGTTTGCCACTAGATTGAACACTCCGTGGGGGCTGGGGCCTTGTCTGTCTGTGGTTGCCCAGTACCTCTAGCAGAACGACGTGCACATGCTGGGGTCACAGACACATGGTGCATGAATAAAGAAATGAGTTCTTGTTAAAGTCATTCATTCCATCGTTCAGCCACTCATTTAGACAAATCTTTCTTAAGCTGACCTCAAACCTCCCTTCTTTATAACACTAGCCCACTGGTCCTTATTCTGACTTCAGAGCCCATGAAAACTAAAATATGACATCACGTCCAGACTCTTTCCTAGCCTAGTCACTTTGTCTAGACATCGGGGTGTCTAAGTCTAAAATCCTGAACTGTTTGGTACCCTTGAGCAACTCATTTTATCTTTCTGTGCAGCTCTGTTCTTTGTTGAATGATTACGGCCTACCTTATCGGAGTAAGAATCTTAAAAAGAATAAACCTAATTAAATAATGCGTATCAAAGGAAAAGGCTTCCTGCCATTGCTCATGGAGTGAAAAAGGGTTAAAAGAGGAATGTGAATTCCCAGTGAAGAAGCTGAATCCTGTTCCTAAATTAAGTCCTTTCCACCTGGCAAAGATGGGGTGAGAATGTAGATTGCTGCTATCACACCTTTAGCGAGCCCTTCCTTCCACAGGTCTGGGATGACAAAGATTTAAGATGAAGCAGAAGATACTGAAATCAAACATGGGAACTTACTAGTGTTGCACGATTTCCTTTTCCTGAGACTGCTCACAACAGAACAAACACCTAACATTTGGGGGACAGTCCTGCTGGGTTCAGAACAGGGTGTTGGCCGAGCTGATCTGTAATTGTCTGGAGTTTGGAAGGGGCCTTAGTGGCCATGTAATCCATCCTCCCACTGGATGCAGGAATTCCCTCTGCAATGGCCCCGACAAGGGCTGCACAGCCTCTGCTTCAGACTTCCCAAGACAGAGCACTCACCAGGTGACTGCATACATGTCTGGACAGCTCTAGGGGCACTCTTAAGTGCCACAGTCCTGATTTCTCCATGACTCTCGGTTATCATTATCTGTCCAACTCTAAGTTTAATAGTCTTTAGAAATTAAGCTAACCTTGCTGATGCAATGTCATTAAACAAGCATTTTCTGAGCGCCTCCAACTTTGTAATACATATTCATCCTGAGGGGCCAATAGGTCAGCGACGACATCATGGTTCTTTGTAACCGCACAATATTAAACATGGTATTGAGCGCACGGTAGGGACTTAATACTTTTAAACTCCCACCCAAATCTAATTACAACCCCACTCAAAGTATTTCAGAAGCCTCAACATTCAGGGTAACAGGACTTCGTGAAAGCAGAAAGGTGCTACGCTATCCCACGAAGCCCCTTCCTTGAACGAGATTTCCAATCCACTGGAAAGCCACAAACCACCGGAACAAGGCAAGGAGGAGTTCAACTGAAAAGAACTTCCAGCTTCTTCTAAGTGTGCTCATCAAGGACCCCTCCCCCATCCTCGGCAAGGAAAATGCCGCTACTCAAACTGAAAAAAACCTGTGGGGATATAGTCTCTGCCTCTAAGAAACTCACAATCTGATGGGAGAGACAGACATGTAATTAACTAACACCATGTGACAGGATCTACCTGAATTCAATTAAGACATCTCTCGGCATGACCTACCAAGGGAGCCAGGCTGGAACCGGGGACGGGTTAACACCAAGAGTTAGATGGTCTTCCTCACTCAGGCCCTTCCCCTGACTGCGTGATCTGGGGACAAGCCACTCCTTGGAGCTTCCGCTTTTATTATGCAAGTAGAATAAATATGGACGCCGGCTAACCCCCGCAAGGACACGAAAGGAGGATGACAAAGAACATATAAAGAATACACTGCGGAGTACTGGGAACAGCAGCATCTCTGAGGCAGAAGGACTCAGATCTAAATTAGGCAAAGCATCCAGAAACAGGACCCAGGCAGTTGGGGCCCACAGTTAATGCGGCATCACCAGCTTTCCCTCGGATCGGGATGCGAGTTCCTGCCGGGGCGGCCAGACTAAGTGGTGTGTAGGTGGATGAGAAGCCAACAACAGCACTCCATGTGCCATTCCCCTCATCTCTCTCCTCCCCTAACCTCATGACCCCCTGGATGGCTAATCCCTTCCTGACCCCTGGGATTCAAACCCAACTCTGATTTACTTTTCTGCTAAAGATCAGGCAGAAGACTCTGAAAAATGAGCATAATGCCAAAATCATAGAAATTTTAGAATAAAGAGAACCCTAAGAGGTGATTCCATGTGCCTGGCTTCAAGCAGACACCTAAGTCACCCAAGAGGGGCTTTAACTTAATTTAAAATACATTCAGGGCACAAAATCCAAGGCTTTCCTCTGACCTTTCCCATTGTCTCCTGCTACCATCAGGAAGTTATTTATGATTTTTAAAGATGTTATATTGTGCTTAATACCATTTTCTTTTATTCCAGCTTTCCCAGACTTGAGATCAATTTATTAGCTAATCTGTTCTTACCCTCCTTTCTTTGAGTGGAGTAATTCTACTTTCTCAAACCTATTCTCCAAAGTTAAAAACCATTTCTTCTATTAATACATTATCTCTATCCAATATTTATTTAGATTGACCTTATACCTCAGGGGACAGAGAAGTCACTAATTGATATGTAACTCATTTCACCTTTGGACAACTGATTGTTTTTATTTTAAGCTCAAACTGTTTCTTTCTGTGGCTTCCTACCAAAAGTCCTATCACCTTGGAAGCCACAGAACAAATCTAAGCCCTCTTCCACATGGCATTTTCACATGGCTCTCATGTGTAGCCCAGACACGGTTGTAAAACGGCAGAGAAGTGGTCAGACCAGCTCAGAATAGAGCAGAATGATCACCCAAGCACTTTGGAAATCAGAGTGCCAACATGTATTTTTGGAGTCATTTTCTGAATCAAGAGAATCTGGAATTAGTCACTGTTCTTTTATAAGTCTCTGGGTACCACGCTTCAATCTTATCCCACAGGCTAAGGAGTGTGCGTGCACATGTAACGTATATATGCACATCCGCTCCCAGGAGCACACACCCACCACTTCTCCCAACTTCCGGTGGGAGGATGAAGAATCCACCCAGTTTTCACTCCAACTCACTTATTCTGCTATTCTGGGTGTGTATATGAATGTCTCCAGGCCAGATGCAAAACCACAGGCCTTAGAGATTCTCTTATCTAGACACAAGAATGGTGTTTAGATTTTTAAATGGTTGGGGAAAAAAAAATCCAAGTGAGAATGATATGAAATCCACATTTCAGAGACCGTAAATAAAGTTTTATTGGGAACACGGCCATGCTTATTCCTTCTTAAATTGTTCGTGGCCACTTCCCCTGTAAAAAGCAGTGCTGAGTAGCTGTGACGGAGACAGCTTGGCCCACAAAGTCTGCAATATTGATTATCTGGCCCTTAACAGGAACAGTTTGCCCACTTCTGGTCTAAATGTATGACCTTGAAAATATCTTTTCTTTGAGCCTGCTTCTCCTTCGTTGAGTCAGGGAGAAGAGTGTGTCTGTGTCCCTACCATTGGGGAAAAGGGCTACAGGCTTGCTCCTGCCAGCAGAGAAATTTGTAGGTTCAAGAGAGGAAAGAGGTTGTTGATTTTTTTTTTCCTAGATAGGATAATGAAAGCTCTTATTCCTTCATTCTTTCCCTCAAGTGATGGTGTTGAAGTTGCTTAAATGCTTAAAGAGGTCGCCAGCCCAGCTGATTCTCCACTCACCACCCGCTTACGGAGTCCTGGCTTCAAGGCCTTGACCTTATCTCTCTGCTGCCACAGGCGGCTCCCAAAAAACTTCCATTTCCCTTACCCTTCTTTCATGCCCAGCTTTGTCCATCTTGGTCCTAAACTTCTCTAACCTGGGGAGTACAACCCCGGGCAAAGGCTAGACATACGACCAGCATCCACGGTTGCTAGCTGCGGGAGAGGCGGGAGGCTGAGGAGCGAGGTGGCCTCTGCACAGCAGAGTTTGCCAGCGAGTGTCAGGGAAGAGGCAAAGATGGCTTTCCCCAGCCCTGGCTGAGCTCTTGGCTGAGGCCCCAGGGAGACAGCAAGCTCCCCCATCCTCCCCCACCCCTCCACTTCCTAAATCAAGCAAATAACTAACAATGCAAGGAGGTGTGGGGGAGTAAGGCTCAGCCACTGGGTATCTATTTTCTCAAAACCACATGGCAAATCTCTGAGCCAAATGCCCGCTAAGCCAAAGAATAAACAAATCCCTTTATTTCCCTGAGATGGGAGCTATCAACTTCCCCTCTCGTCCTCTCCTTCTGCTGGCCAGAGTCATCTGTCCCGTGACCCTCTCTCCCAGTGGGAGAAGCAGGGTCTGTCCGAATCTTCCTGACCACTGCTCTGGTCGGCTTCTACCCAGCAGGGGCATCACCGAGCAAAGCTGGTGGGTGGGGAACAGGAGCACATGGCCTGTCCACACCTCCCCCAGAAACTCTCGGTCAGCTCTCTATGACGCACTGCGCTGCTAATTCAATCTTCTGCTCGTCTTTCTCCAAGGAGGGCTCTGAATAAGTCTGCTGGTCAAGGAGACTGCCTCAGCCCCAACCCAGCCCCCAGTCCCACCCCAGGGCAGCCCCTCAGTGATCCAGAGCTCAGCTCAAACAGTGCTACTGTGGGAAGGAGGAGAAGAGAAAGGGCTAAGGAGGGAAAAGGTGGCATCTCTGCAGCATGATGTCACGCTGGCTGCTTTCAGATCCCCCAAACAGAGAACAGAAGCAAACAACATGGACTCCGGATTTATTCTGCCTTGAAAGGTCTGTGTTCTTGGCAGCTCTGAGCAGCCTGCACCAGCAGCTGGGGAAAGCACACAACCAGACAGCCTCGCTACAGCCCCCCGGGCCCCAACCTGCCTCCAGGACAGAGCTATGCCCGCTTCCAAAACATCCCACGAGGAAACAAAGATAGACTGACACATACACACACACAAGCGTCAGCACGAGTGAGCACTAACCTGGAAGCCATTAGGAACGGTAGCAGAGTGCAGTGCAGAGAGGAACTCATTCATTCATGCATTGGGCAGAGGGGGGCGGGGGCGGGGAGCGGGGGCCCTGCGGAGGTTGGAGGACACTCACCTCCATGACCATCCCAAAGCCCTGTGCTAATGGGGAGGGGGCTGGGGCCAGGGCTCTCATAAGCTGGGGGTGCTTCCTTGCTCTGCTGTTTCGCACGGCTCTGGAATTTTAAGCATGACTCCCCTTTATTTTCTCTCCCCCCCACCTCCCTCTGCGGGCGGCTGCTGTTTGGTGTGGTCGTGCAGCCTTACAGGAACCCTCGCTCCCTCGCCCCGTTCCCTTTCTCTCTCTCTCCCTCTGACTCCCTCACAGACAGCTGTTCTGAGCTGAGGCACGCACGCGCGCAGGGCGCAGACACACTCAGACGCGCACCCCTCATGCGCGCAGACACACGCACACGCGCACACGCCGCCGCCGCCCGCCGCTTTACATAATGCAACTCTTTGGTGCAGTCAGCTTGCCAGCGTTCAATTATTCATGCCAGCTCGGAGGACAGCGCCGCCGCCGGGGCTGCGGGCGTTATTTCCTCCTCATCCCCAAATCTGACAAAACAAAATGATGCTCCCGGGAGACTCTGCTCCCTTCGCTGCCACCAATTATCTCCCAGGTGTTGCCCATTAGG